GCTATCTTCCCAGCATGCAAGATGTTAAATCACGGATTTCAGTTACAGGAAGAGAGATCCTGGTAGAAGGTGGAGGGAGATTAAAACCCCAACTCCAGAGAAGTTGATGGGCTTGTTGAGACTTGAGACTAAAACACCATTGGTTGGACATGCATTAATTTCTTACCCTGAGTAGGTGGCTGGCCACAGTGACCCCTTTGGCTGAGTCTAGAAAAAAATAAGATGATTTGGGGAGAAAGGATACCAAAGGGGGGAAACCATGGAAGGGTGACAGTTGCTTGGGGTTTTTGAGGTTTTTTTTTTAAAAGAAAAGAAATTAGAGAAAAGGACTATCTTTGTTACATACAGAGCCTGTGTACTAGGTTTACAGAACTCCTGTTGAATGTGTCTCTCTAGCTGTGTTCAGGGAATCGGGGTCCGAAGTATGTTTTTATATTAAAACTAATCAGTGTATATCATATTTAAATACTAGAATCAATCAATGCAGCCAATACCAAAAACTTGCGTTTGATTGTGCAATTCTTTTTTCCCTTCCGTCTATCAAAGAAACGTTTTCAGAGGAAAATCCATTTTCTCTCTAAAGTTCTGCAGGACAGTTTCTCTAGTGAAAGGTTCATGGCGGAGAGGTCACCCAAGGGACTTGATTGAAAGCGAAACTCATGATTTTTAGTTTTTGCCTTTAATTGTCGTTTTCTACCCCCTTGTATCAAAGCTATTTGGGCCAGTGTTTCTTGTCCTTGGAAACTTGAAGATGGGTGGACTTCAATTCTCAAGAATGTGTGAAGATGGGTGGACTTCAATTCCCAGAATGTTGGAAATCTTAATGTGTAAACTTCAACTCCCACAATTCATGGCTGGCAGGAGAATTCGGGGAGTTGAAGTCCACGTATCTTCGAGTTGCCAAGGTTGAGAAACTCTGTTTTGGGCAGTAGAACTTGGTTCTGGTGCTCCTCTTCCTAAGAGAAAATGAATGTCCACCTGAGGGAGGAAGTGATTCTGCCCAAGCGGAAAACAATTCATGAATCACAGGTTCCTACCAAACCATTTCCAGCCAGGTATCTCCGTTTCCTGGTCCGAATGTACCACCTACCAGCTGAGATTCCTTAAAATTTCTGCCTGCCACAAGAAGACTGGAAAGTGTTAAACACATGATTGGGATTGAAACCAGTTCAGCAGGTTGACAGCTAATCTTGGTAGGTCAGGTCTCTCAACAAGATGTCAGTAATGCACCTGTCTGGCTGGCTCTTGGTTCCAAAATGGTTTTTTTCCTCCCAGAAATGATCAGAATCTTATATACATACATACGCAAAGACTTTCAGGATTGTAGAGTTGTTGGATTCTTACTCTGAGAAGATGCCATTTTTGCAATTTCATGCAAGGTCTCGCTCCAAAATACCTGGTCCCTGCCCTCAGTGGTACCTGTAGGGAGAGAGGGAAAGTAAAAGGCAGATTGACGAAAGCAGAGTTGAAGTATTGTAGCACACACCTTGTTCCTTTTTTTGAGGGGTGGTGCATCACCACCCGTAAAAAGAAAAGGTGTAATCACGTTGCTTTTGTCAGGATTACAACAGCAAGAACGAGAAAATGTTGCTGCCTAAATTACCATGTGAGGTTTGGCCAATAATTTGGCCTAATTTAAGACACAATAAGCAACTCAGCTGGCTTTTACTAAGTCTGGACTTGCAGATTCGTAGATGGTCAAACTGACGAGCAAAGCAAAGGGGAATTAGTCATTTCAATTCACTTACTGCCCAAATATTATAATACAGGTAGTAGTACTATAACTTACAACCATTGGACTGTTCAAAGTTACAACGGCACTGGAAAAAAGTGACTTATGACCAGTCCCTCCATCTAACAACCGTTGCAGCAATCCCAGGGTCACATGATCAAAATTTGTCAACCAATAGGTATTTACGATACTTGCAGAGTCCCTGAGTCATGTGATTACCATTTACATCCTTCCCAGCTGCTTCCAACAAGCAAAGTCGGTGGGGGAAACTGGATTTGCTTAATGACCACCTGATTCAGCAACCGCAGTGATTCCCTCCATAATTGTGGCCAAAAATATCTCTCAAAGTTGTTAACTATCTCACTTAGCAACAGAAATTCTGGCCCCTGTTGTGGCAATTGGTTGAGGACTTTCCGACGACCACAGTTGAACTCAACATTTCGGTTGCTAAGTTGTTAAGTGAATTTTGCTCCATTTTACGACCTTTCTTGCCATAGCAGTTAAGTGAATCACTGCAGTTGCTACAGTTAGTAACCTGGTTGTTAAGTGAATCTGGCTTCCCCCATTGACTTTGCGTGTCAGAAGGTCGCAAATAGGGATCACATGATCCAGGGACACTGCAACCGTCATAAATATGAGTCAGTTGCCAAACACCTGAATCATCACGTGACCACGGAGATGCTGTGATAGTCATAAGTGTGAAAAAGGGCCATAAGTCACTTTTTTTCAATGCCGTTGTAACTTTTCAAGAAGAGATTGAACTACCTGTCAGAAATGTAGGGTCTCCTGTTTGGGTAGGGGGTTGGATTAGATGACCTATAAGGTCCCTTCCAACTCTGATTATCTGTTAACTTTGAAAAGCTTCACTCAAAAACAACTCTAAAAGAGACTAAGAGCAACTGTGTTGCATAAAAAATTAATTCCATTACCACGGTTTGATAAAAGCCTGTTCAACTAGTTGCAGAAATTAACTCACTTAGGCTAGTAACTTGAAAGGAAGGTGGATTAAGCAATGATGAATTGCATGAAATACAGGAATGATTTAGCAATACACTAAAGCCCAAATAGCAGGAAACGTTATTACTGTATTTTATGTTTTCCCATGCTGGATCTCTGTCAAACAAAAAACAAAAAACTACTCTGGAAGGAATCTGTTCCTGCTTTTATTACTTCTTGCTGGTCAATCTCTGCTGTAAATCTCAGATTTCAAGACTGCATGGCTGACTGAGCGTCTTATGCTAAGGGTGCTCCTGGACTGAGCCATGAATCTCCACATGGCTTGGGAGCCTGACATACAGAAAGTCTTCATTGCAACCTTTATTTGCAATTACAGTCAATGGAAGTACTACAGCTAGTCCTCAACTTACAACACTTCCTTTAGTGACCATTCCCCCCAATGTGCTTTAATCTAATTGGGAAGATTTATTTTAGTGGATTCAATGTAAAGGTTGGCTGCTGTGTTTTCTCCAAATTTTAGAAAGGTCAGCTTCAAAATATAAGTAGTCCTCGCTTAGCGACCGTTGAAGTTACAACAGCCCTTGAAAGAAGTACTTACAACCCAGATTTGAAAATATGATGGCCACACTCTGTGGTCATGTGACTGCATTTTAGGAGTTCAGCAACTGGCTCATATTTATAGCCATTTGTAGCATCCTGGTAATATTTTTCACCAGAAACATGTTTATTTCCAATTTATGGTAGAAATGCCCAATAGCAAACTACGGGTTCTCTTAATGACCATGGCATTCGCGTAAAGACTCAGCATTCATTTTATGACCACTGCAAGACTAGTAAAATCTGTTGCAGTCACAAGCTGTAAGCATGAAGTAGACAAAAAAAAATAGAGTTAGTCATTCAGTTAATAGTTCATTTTTATTCCCAAGCTGCAGAGAAAGGATAGCAGACTCATCAGAGATCAGAACTCATTTCTTGCAAAAATAAAGGGATAAAATTTTATTCAATTTCTATAGCCACCCAATTCAACCAGGTGACTTTAAATATGGCAATAATATGTGCCAACCCGTTATTTTTGACTTATTAATCATATATATTTTCTCCATGATGATCTGTCCCTCACCTATCTTTTCAAGTCTCCCAACTGCGCTCATGGCCACTGTGACTGACGCAATCCTTACTGCTGTCATCTTTTTTCCTTTCCTGGCATCACAGTCGTTTTCATAGATTTATTCTTTGCATAATATGGAAGATATAATTTGACTGTGGTCATCTGCACTTGATTTATCCAATGATCTATTGAATAATAAATAATCATAATTGTTATGTATAATAATAACACTTTGATTTTGCAATAAGCGAACTGGAAGGCCAACAGCATTCTGTAACTTTGAAAAGCATACTTTAAAAAAATGTATTTATACTTATTAAGCATTTCACAGGAAATAAAAGACAAATCTGAAGAGAAGAATAGCAAGAAAAAAAAAGGAAAGGTGCAGGAAAAGGAAAAGAAACTACTATTCTGGAAATACAATGATTTTCATGCCTCCTACAGTAGATAATTACCAGTTTACCATATTCCTTGGGTAGGAATAGGCTGGGGAATTCTGGGAGTTGAAGTCCACCTATTAAAAGTTGTCAAGTTGAGAAACACTGCATTAGTCTCCCGATCAGCAATGATTTCACATGAATATTGATCAAGAGAAAGCAGGAACTATAGGATGGGAATCCCAAAAGTGCTTTTTTTTCAAGAGGCAACTGGGACTTTCTGGTTTTTCTTTGAAGACGTTTTGCTTCTCATCCAGGAAGCTTCTTCAGCTCTATAGGGTGGGAGACTGCTGTCTTTCATCCAGTCACGTTTTAGTTAGCTTGTGTGAACTTCACTAAAAATGCTGGCTGGGGAATTATTATGTTGCCCAGGTCAAGAAACATTGAATTAATTTTTTAGCACAGTTTGCTATAGAAACCGGCTCCACGGAGTCCTTTGAAGTGCAATGAAGTGAACTACAAGTTAACAGGTAGCATGAATTTGTACTGGCTCAGCCATGTGGGGACTGCAGCCCAACCATATCTGAACACTATCGCTTTCCAAAGTATTGATCCCAAAGTATTGGTCTGTATGAATGGCTCTCTCTTCTTCATCGGGAAAGAACTTCTAAAGCGAACCCGAAAACTCGAAGCAGCGGATGAGTAGTGTTCCTAAGTCTAGGGCAGCTTCGTTTGACTTGAGGGCGACCTAGCCGTGGTTGTGGGCGTCATCTATGATCCGGGAAAGCCGCTCTAGCAACGGAGCCTCCGAAAGTTGTCGCTCGCCGGCGCCGAGGATGGCGCTGCTGCCTTTTGCCTTCGAGGAGTCGGTCTTCGAGGACGAGGAGGAGGGCGGCGGGACGTCCAGGACCGGCGGCCCCCTTGCTTCCCACTACAACGCCCGGTGCTGCGAGCCCGAGGTGAAAGGGCGGGGGGGGGGCAGATTCACGGACCTTCGTGCCTCCAGACCCACGTGTTGAGGCTGGGGCGTGCGACTGGGTTGGGAGGAAGGACGTTGCACTCTGCACATGCTCTGGGGCAAGCTGTTTTTCTTGCTACCCTGCAGAAACGGAGGACAGATGTGGCTGGGTTTAATTTAGTGTTGGGGGCAGGTGGGATTGTCATTGCCCCACTTAGATGACTGGCCCAATCCTTGTAAATCTGAACAAGCTGGGATTCAGTGCTGTTGTCATTGATCGTCCTGTTGAGGTCAAAGCAGGCTGTTGGAGGTCAGTGCCTGGAAAGGAGACCACCAGGAGAGGCCAGGGAAGCTCTCAATCTCAGCCATCTAAGAGGGAGTATTTCTGGAGGGGTTTCCAGGGCGCCTTTCCTATTATTGTTGTTGTTGTTGTTGTTTTTGTTGTTATGTGATTGGTTGCACAGTCAGCCAGATGCCTAGCCTTGATTTGGCTATTTTGTCCACCTACTTTTTAGGCAACACAACTGTTCATTGTATTGCATAAATTCCAGGGACCCGGAAGAGGTAGGTGTTGTTTGTTTGAAGGTATTAAAGGTGTCTATTGCAGGATGTAAGCTGTTCCAAGTAGAGCTGCCTTTTGCAGTTGACTGATAGTGATTTTGTCAATGCCGATGGTGTTCAAACGATGCTCCAGTTGTTTTGGGATTGCACCTAAGGGCACCTATTACTATTGACATTATCTTTCTTTTGTCAGGGTTGTTTCACTTCTGTTTGCAGGTCTTCGTATTTTGTTACCTTCTCCCGTTCTTTCTCTTCTCTTCTGCTGCCTCTAGGAATTGCAATTATCCACTAGCCAGACATTTTTGCCTTTCTTATTGAGAATTGTTGAGTCTGGGATGTTACATTGTTGTTATTATATTTAGATCCTGAACATTTTTATAGTGTGTGTGTATGTGTATGTAAAAACAATCCAAGGTTGTAAACATACCTAACAGTCCTGCCTCCTGTTTTCTCCATACAACAACCCTGTGAGGTGGGCTGGGATGAAAGATAGTAACTGCCCAAAGTCACCCAACCAGTTTTTAGGCCTTAGGGAGGACTAGAACTCACAACATCCTGATTTCCAAGCCAGCTACTCATAGCCACTAATTGGCTTTCGATTAGTCAAATCTGTGATCTCCTGGTGGTATCCTCTCTGGGCTCTAACCTCTGACAGTCTGTCAATAGCTTCACTAGAAGTTAAATCCCACCCAAAGCCTTTATCTTTCTTGATTGTGGGAGGAAGAAGTGGGATAGAAGGGAAGAGCTCTGTTGTTGCCTTGCCAAGTTGGAAGTTTTGTATAGCAGGGGTCCCCAAACTTAGCAACTTTAAGACTTGTGGACTTCAACTCCCAAAATTCTCCAGTCAGCATAGCTGGTTGGAGGATTGTGGGAGTTGGTCCACAAGTCTTAAAGTTGCCAAGCTTGGAGACCCCTGTTGTAGGGTAACTCTGGTGCATCCCTGAATTCAGTTCCAACCAAACTCTTTTTTTGGGGGGGTCATTGATTGGAAGAAATTGTAGGAACTAATAATAAAGCATCCCTGCGTGTTTAAGAGAGACTATCTAACATTTGGTGCAACTTTTATACTGCATGATATTGGTATTCCTTGGTAGCAGTGCCATGAAATGTAGTAATGCCTCCTCTTTCTCTTGACAGTGGTTTTGTGAACAGGTAGAATGCCAGGACGATCTTGAAAGGATGAACATAAAAAAATTCAGAGGAGATCTGGCCTATAAGAAACAAGAATTTCAGGTACTTTCATGGAGCATTCATGAACCAGCCTTGTAAAATTGGTTCCCTCCAAAATTCCAGGTAACATGTTGAAAATTCAGGTTCAGCAAGGTTATTTTATATATTCTTGAAACAATCTGTCTGGTTGCTTTTCTTTCAACTTTGCATGGATGGATAGATGGATAGATGGATGGATGGATATATGGATTGAAGGATGGATAAATGGATAAATGGTTGGATGGATGGATGGATGGATGGATGGATGGATGGATGGATAGATAGATAGATAGATAGATAGATAGATAGATAGATAGATAGATAGATAGATAGATAGATGATGGATGGATGGATGGATGGATGGATGGATGGATGGATGGATGGATAGATAGATAGATAGATAGATAGGATGGTTTTCCTTAATAGCCATTCAAACACTTTTTTGCCAACCTGTATGTATGTTATCATGCCAAAATCACCAGGGTATGTAAACTTTTGATCAGGGTCATTTGGGTAATTTCTGTTGTCATGATTTAAAAAGAGTAAACACAGTTGATTGATAATAAATGGCTTCAGCCGACCACTAACCATGAGTGAAAGAAAAGTTTTTGTGTTATCATTCATATTCTCTGAAAAATGGCCAAGAAATCATAAATTCTGCCAGGGTATGTAAACTTATGAGCACAACGGTAGGTAGGTAGGTAGGTAGGTAGATATTCTGGAAAGGCCATGACATTATTTGGCAAGTAAATTAATCAATTCTAAGAAAAAGAGCCCTTTTGAGTTTGATGGAGCTTAAAAATCAAGAAAATGTCTATGCGATGCTTGTGTTTACTTTTAATCACGTACAACTGTTACCTGATGTTGAATAATTTGGCACAATTCACAACCCCCTCATGCTTTTGGAGTTACACTAACATTTGGTAAATCTAATTTCAGAAAGCCCTTCAGGAATATTCCAGTTGCCTTGCCCTTGTACCTTCCAGTAATATTGCCATGAGAAGAGATTTAAAAGAGAGCCAGGCCCGCTGTTTAGCTCATCTGGGGAAACATGAGGAAGCGCTCAGAATTGCAGAAAACCTGGTGGGTATTTTTCAAGGTGACTTTTCTCTTCACAGATCAGCTTGCATCCTCAACTTACTATATACATATCAGTATATCTGAGGCTATTTCTTTTCATGCCTGTCGTGTCCCATTCGATTCTTTTTTAAAGTTTTTTTTTTCAATTAAAAAAAGGCATGTAGCAAGATGGGTGGCAAATAAATATATAACAGAAACTAGTATACTGTCAAGTAAGTGCTAGCATTAAGCTTAATCTCTGGACGCACTTGTACACTAGAGAAATTCTTGTAAAAAATTTTTAGCTTGCTATTTCAGGAAAATTGTGGACTTGTTTTATTGGGGAAAGTATATTTTGTCATGTCCAGAGTTTAGGGTAAGAAGACATTGGCACTGTGTTTTCCAAAATTGACCATTTTAAGATAGCAATAGCAATAGCATTTAGACTTACATACTGCTTCATAGTGCTTTTATAGCACACCTTAAGTGATATACCGAGTCAGCATCTTGCCCCCAACAATCTGGTTCTTCATTTTACTGACCTTGGAAGGATGGAAGTCTGAGTCAACCTTGAGCCAGGATTGAACTGCTGGGAGTGGGCAGAATTAGCATGCAGTACTGCATTCTAACCACTACACCACCACGGCTCCCTAACTAAGATGTCTGGACTTCAACTTCCAGAATTTCCCGGTCAACTTAGGCTAGCTGGGGAATTCTGGGAGTTAAAGTCAAAACACCTTAATTAGCAAGATTGTGAAACATCACATTAGAGTAACTCTTATTCTCCCTTCGCTCTTTTTTTCTTTTTTTCTAGAGAAACGGGGCAACGAATACCGACCATCTGACAGCCATACTTAATCTGCAATATGCCATTTATTGCCTTCTGGAGGATATTGAGAATGTAATTGGGTGCTTGCAAAGACTGATCTCGTTGCACCCGTTTCATCCACAAACTTGGAATTTGCTGGCAAAAACTTACATGAGTTTGTTGCAATTTCCGGTCCCCTTGTCTGGAACCAAAGCCCCTCTGTGGCAAGGCAGTGGCTTAATTGCAGGCAGCTTTGTGTGTCATCGGACACAGAGCCAGAGGAAGGATGATCCTTTGTTGTGTACCATCCACACAACCGATAGCTTTGGATCTTGTGTGGAATCGCAAAGTGTGCAGAGACCTGTTTGTATCCCGGGAAATTCAGGGCCAGGATCCACAACCAAGAGAGCTTCTTTAGGGGATCGAAGATTGAAAGACATTTGTGTCTATGCGTGTGCCTCTTTTGTTAGAGCCAGGTACACCTCCTCTCTTTTCATATCCTTATTTGCATATAAAGTACAGGTAGGCCGTGACTTAAAGCCATTCATTTAACAGCCATTCAAAGTTGCAACGGTGGAAAAAGTGACTTTACAATTGTTGTAATGTCCCTCTGGTCACGTGATCAGACTTCGGGCACTTGGCAAGGTGGGATGTACGGGTAGTCCTCAACTTACAACAGTTCATTTAGTGACCAGAGTTACAACAGCACTGAAAAAAGTGCCTTATGAACATTTTTCACACAGCCGTGGCAGTATCCACATGGTCTCGTGATCAACATTCAAACGCTTGGCAACTGACCCCTATTTATGACGGTTGCAGTGTCCCAGGGTCATGTGATCCCCTTTTGTGACCGTCTCACTTAACAATAGATATTTTGGGCTCAGTTGTGATTGTAAGTCGAGGATCACCTGTATTTACATTGTTGGGGGGAAGTCAATTTGCTTAACAGTTGTGCTGATTTGCTTAACAATTGCAGTGATTTGCGTAACAACCACAGCATAAGTCATAAAATCGGGTACAACTCACTTAATGACCGCATTGTTTAGACAGTGAATGTTCCGATTCTAATTCTGGTCACAAGTCAAAGACAATCTATTCTTTGCGTTCTCTCAAGAGACTTACCGGTATGATCAAATCTTCTCCCAGCCTCCTCATTACTCATTGTGGAGGTCAAATGTTAATCAATACAGAATCCCAGTTTATTGCAAAGCTGGCTGGGGTTGCTAATCAATACAGAATCCTAGTTTATTCCAGCCTGCTCAGATTAAAGTCATGGTTTAGGACAAGGTGGTGATTTTAAAACTGATCAAAGTTATTAAATTGCAAGTTTAGATGCAAGAAAAAAAACCAAATTTGATATTTCAAAAGTACCCTACTCCTGTGTACAATGGTCCATGGTCAACATGCAAGTTTGATTTAGCTTTATTTAATTTATATAGCTCTGCGACTATCCAAGGAATTCTGGGTGGCTAAGAAAAATCAACACAAGCCAGTTTTACAGACCTATTAAAAATAACCTGGGTTAAGAGTAAAAATCATATTATCAGCTAATCAAACAAGCTACTTCCACACCAGAGTTCCTGCAGCATCCACACCCCATTGCTCAGGGAAGAGCCAGTTCTTCACAACTTTCTGGAAATCCAACAATAACTCTGTGATGTGCAAATTGGAATGTTGCAAGGACAATCTTTCAAAAATTGTGATTTATTCAGTGGCATAGTTTTGCACATCAAGGCAGCCCATGTTTGGATGTCAGTCTAAGCCAGTGTTTTTTCACCTTGGCAACTTTAAGATGCGTGGACTTCAACTCTCAGAATCCCAGAATTCTGGGAATTAAGGTCCACACATCTTAAAATAGCTAAATTTGAAAAACGTTGATTTAAGCCCCTTCAAACATTCATTCAGCTGGTTTATTTATAAACAAATAGCTCAGTTTGAAAACACTTTTATTCCTTTGATGGGAAAAGATCCCGTGAATTAAAAAAGGGTGAGTTTAAAATTAAGTTATTGCTGGTTTTAATTGTTCGTTTTTTTCTCTTGTTTCCAGGCTTTTGTTTCAGCTTATGCAGTTGACTCAGTCTTCTTTTGCTTTAGAGAATAACTTGAAAACGCAACAGGAAATTGAAGACAAAATTAGATTTTTTGAATTGGAGGCAGACAACTTTTCCTTGATGACTGAGGTCAGTCACAATTCATCAACAATTGTGTAAACATTCTTGGTTAAGTAGGAATCATGAATGAAGAAATAACATCCAATAATTTGCAGATAGCTGCTTTGTTATTTTTTCCCATTAGCCCTTAAGAAGAATAAGAAGTGATGGTGATAGTAATGTAAGGGGATTCCTGCTAAAAAATGTCCAAACATGGGTAGAATTTTAGAATTAGGGTTATAATAAGATTGGGACTGTGTTAGGAACTTCTGTCCTCACTGTGACTTGTGTTGGGGGGGGAGTGCGCAAAGGGAGGCTCAGCCAATCTCATTGTACATATGTTGTACTCTGACAATAAAGGCAATAATCATTAGGTAATAATAATGTTATCTTAGTTGTCATCTATTCTATCACCCCAATGCAGGAATTCTGTAATTACAGGACTCATTAAAATGTCTTCTGTCTCTGCTTGAAAATAAGTAGTCCTTAAGTCATAAGGATTGTAAAATAGTGGGTTCACACTTATGACTATGGTGCCCACTTAATGACCCCGGCAATCACCCTTACGATCACTGCAAAAAATATCATTCTTACGGTTTGAGGACATTTTTAGTGGTGATCGTAAATCACTAAATTGCAGTCATTAAATGAACATCGTGGTCATAAGTGCAAACCCATTGTTGACAAAGGTGCAGTTTTGCTGAAAATGAGAAGTACTGGGTTTTGGCAAAACCGTCATAAAATGCAGTCATGCGACCATCAGACACTGCAAATGGCCATAAGCCCTATCATGCGACTGCAGAGGACTTCACACCATTGAATCTTTGAACACATGTTGTACTCTGACAATAAAGATAATAATAACCTGGACCTTGTAAGTTAAGGACTGTGTTTTCAGGGAAAAGAGAGCTCATCAAATCCTGAGTCAGGATTAGGGTTAATGTGGACCAATTTTTCAAACCTTTCTTGCTTGGGCGATTCCTGCACAGTGTTAAACCATCCCTGATCATTAACATAAACAAATATGCTGCCTCTTCAACCTTTTCTTATATAAATCTTTACAAGGTCAGTCATTTTTTTTCATGCTTAAGGATTGCATGAATTGAGCCAGTTAGCATTAACTAAATTAGAAATCTATTAGAAGGTATAATTTGAGAATATTAATCCTGCTTTTTTAAAAAAAACTTTGCAAATGTCCAACTCTTCCTCAATTTGATGTGAGAAGGGAGAAATATTTTCGGTCAGAGTTAACAAAGTATGCATAAAGTATTTTTTCCCTCTTATAAAAAATAACAAAAAATGCTGCAAAATATTTATTAAAATGGCAATGAACTGACAGTGTAGTGTATTAAACAATTACACAAAGTTTAGTTAACAGTGTTAATCATACCGTATTAAATGATATTAATCATACAAAATTCTGTATGCTTTACTTGGAAAGCAAATGTACATTTGAAAGTACATGATATATAAATAGGAATTAAAATTAGGGCCATGAACCTGATTAATTTATTGTTTTTGTGTGAAGGTTATGGGTTGGTTCTTTTCTGAACATTTTTATAAGCTAGTGCAAAACTGATATTTTGGCTTCCGGTACACACATTTCCTCATAGGTTATGGGAGAGGATCTTGTCCCGGAAAAGCTGAAAGGAGAAGCTCAGGAAGAGGTGAAATGCTTCCCTGCTGAAGCCTTGCCATCTGTCATGACTGCATCCACCTTGGAGTTTGAAAGAAAATGGTTCCAGAAGCTCCAAGGCTGCTTTCCTCACATGGACTGCCCGACATAACTGCACTGAAAGCGCTTCTTCAGTTTTTCAGTTCTGCTTATCCCATCTGTATTTTAATGGAACTGGAAGGGACTTTGGAGGTCTTCTAGTCCAACCCCCTGCTATGCCATTTCAGACAAAGGGTTTAGCTTGCCAAGAGAACACGGGAACAGGAACTGAGATTTTCATTGTTGCACATGCAGTTCGCACTGGAGTGTTTTTACCATTGAAAAGGATGAGCCACTTCATTTGAAAATCACCTTAACATCTGGCTCTTCTTCTACCTCAGGGGTAGAAGAAACTTGATTTCATTGAGGGCAACATCAGGATTGTATTTGACCTCGGAGGGGCGTGGCCGGGATGGGTGTGGCTGGGATAGGCATGGCTGAGATGGATGTGGCCAGCTTGATGTCACTCATTGAGGCCCCATTTTCAGCCACAATGGCCTCCTGCAGCCCTCTGCCAGTTAAAATGGAGCTTGGGGTGCTGTTTTTGCTGGCTGCAGGAGGCCATCATGGCTGAAAACTGAGCTTGGGCGGGCTGCGTGTGGCCCTCCCGAGTTCCATTTGTGCTGGCAGAGGCACTGCAGGCCGATCCTTCACTGTTTTTATGGTGTCCCCCTGCGGGCCGGACAGTGGTGGGATTCCAATTTTTTTCCTACTGGTTCTGTGAGAGTGCACGCAGCACTCAAAAACTGCCCTCTGTGTCAGCACTAGTGAGGTGAGCTGTTTTTTAGCTCAGCTGAGGCGCGGCAATCCATTCTGTCTTGTGAATCAGCTGAGCTGAAAAAACAAAGGCATATCGGACAGGAAAAGGCGGGGTGGGTGGATGGAGCCAGCCAGAGGTGGTATTTGCCGCTTCTCCAAACTACACAAAATTTCCGCTATCAGTACGACAGAACCGGTCCGTACCAGCTGAATACCACCTCGGGCAAGCCTTGAGTTTGACACTCCTGTTTATACCTGTTGTGGTCAGCTGTGGTGCCATCACTGTTTTTCCATGGACCTTGACTACCCTTCCTCCCCATCTTTTAATTGGGGCTCAGTAATTGGGTCTTGACAGTATTTTATTTATGCCTTTTAGGTTTTGTGTAGTGTTTATCTTTTTTAAGATTGTAGGCCGTCCAGAGTTACCTTGCGGCCAATATATTTTACAAATAAATCAATAAATAAATGTTTCAAAATTTCTGGGCATGTGTATAGTTTTGTTCAATAGACCTTTAATTCATTGCCATTTGAAAAACTTTAGGCAACAGGGAATAAAGTTTTTTTTAATCACTGTTACTGCTTTGGAAGTGATACATGAATATTTTAAATGAAGAATAAAAGTATAAAAAAAGACTTTAGAGGGTGAATGGATAGCCCTGCAGGTAACTTAGGTTTAATCCATATAGGTAGTCCTCAATTTACAACAGTTCATTTAGTGACAGTTCAAAGTTACAATGACATTGAAAAAAATGACTTATGATCGTTTTTCACACTCATGACTGTTGGAGCATCCTAATCATCACGTGATCAAATTTCAAACACTGTCATAAAATGCAGTCATGTGACCGCAGGATGCTGCAAATTGCAAAATGTCTGAAGTTCGGTCACATGATCACAAATGGGGCATGACTGTCAGAATTTTGAATTCAGGACATGAGTCCCGTTTTTTGGGTCATTTGCAATGTTGAACAGTTGCTAAGTGACTGGTCATAACTCGAGGACTAGCACACAGACACAGACACTGGCACATGAACACACAAACCCTTATTAACAATTCAAGGGAGACTTTATTGAGAAATCAGCTTAAGATTGGTACCTCTAGTCTATAGCAATCATTTTGATGTAAGTTGTGGGTTTCTACCTCACCATCCAATCATCCTCAAATTTGGATTGAAAAAATAAATACCATGCTTGTAGTATTGACCTCCAAAATCGTAATTAACACGGGCAGAATATTTTTTTCCTTTCCTTTTCTAGTCTCAATATTCTAAGTTATTTATACAACCAACTGTTAACAATTCCTACACCTATCATTCAAATATCAATGGACGGAACAATACCAGGTACTAAGATTTATAACGATAATTTTAAAAAAGGGGGGGGGACCATTAAAAAGGCCACATTTCATCATTACTGATTTTACTGTAATTTATTTCATTGATGGTTGTGAGTTACCCAGAATTGCTGGGACTCTGGTAGGATGCAAGTTTAAATAATAATTAATAATTAATAATAGTAATAGTAATAATAGTAATAAAATAATAAATTATTCTCCTCCCCCTCCCCCTCCCCTCCTCGCAAAAGGTGGATACCCCGTCTTTGTTCACAGGGCTGCTATATCTGGGCTGACCACTAGAGGGCAGCAGAGCGCTGAAGTCTCATGGCTGCCCTCTAGCGGCCATTCAAAATTGTGCTGCCTACTGTTTGCTCTTAATAGCCCTTGGTGGACCACCTCGTCGCCTATCAAAACCCAGCCGGGGTAGCCAGATTCCCTTACCTCGTTGCCCCGTCCCCCTGCTCCATGATGGTCTAGACCTGGACAGAATCCTCAATTTTTCTGCCACTGCATTTTTCTCCCGAGGGGGTGGAAAAACGTGGAAACGGCTTGTTGGGAGGGCGAGCGAGGCGGAAATCTTGCCTACCTCCTCCCATCCGTTCACTCCGGGGTTGTTCCAGTGCAATTAATTACTCTACGGAGGAGAAACTTTTGTTTTCCTCCTTCATACTTAAAACACGTTAAGCTCGTGAAAGTTGCGATTCTCTCCTTTTTTTTAAGTTAAGGAAGCAGAACGAGTTTTCCTCTTGATGAGGTGATTTTCTTCCCGCCTTTCCATGCGCCTCGTTAGCGCAGTAGGCAGCGCGTCAGTCTCATAATCTGAAGGTCGTGAGTTCGAGCCTCACACGGGGCAGAGCAACTTTTTCGCCCCGAGCAAGAAATTAAAAAAAAAAACCCCACTCGTTGGACCACAGGAAAAGAAGACCCCCCCCCCTCCATACCCATCCATGCAAACGCCTAAGGCTACTTCCGGGAGGATGGCAAGGAGAGCAAAGACGAACTGCTTAAAGTGGGGAGACGTGGCCTTAGAACTTAACCTGTCCTTAAGTATCTTTCTTATACATTTACTTCTGTTCTGGGCAGACACGTGTACTGACACTGAAATTTACTTTTGTAAAAAATAAATGGAATACTGGCATTTATTTTAGAGACCAGCATTTGGATTTGCTGCAACTTAGATTGCTTTTCCTTCAAAAACAGGGCAGCTTGTGATTTTTTCAGCCAAAGTGACAGATTTGTTTTTTGTTTAAAACTGTCCCTGTCTTTTATCACAGCAATATTTGGATCTTTTCAGACGCAGGATCCTATTTCACTCAAAAAGTACACTCAGAAATCTTTGGGCAGTGATTCTTCAATCTCAACAATTTAAAGATAGGTGTACTTCAAGTGCCATGGCTGACTGGGGCATTCTGGGAGTTGAAGTCCATGCATCTTTAAAGCTTGCCGCTTGCGTTCCCAAAGAACACCCACACCCACACTTTTTGTGATAAGCCAACTTCCAGTGCTAAATTTTGGCTAATTGTTGACAGTGTGCATGAAAAACCTTCCCTCTGGCCATCTGTGATATTGCGTGAACTATCAAAATAGGATTTGTGAACCAAGATAAGCACATGGTGCACCTCTAGAGTTTCTGGAGAATGATCATTGTCACTAGGCCTGCAAATCAGATTAACAGAGTTGGAAGAGACCTTGTAGGTCATCTAGTCCAACCCCCCCTCCAAACAGGAGACCCTACGCCATTTCTGACAAATGGCAGCCCAGTCTCTTCTTGAAAGCTTCCAGTGATCAAGCTCCCACAATTTCTGAAGGAAACTTCTGTGCCATTTGGTTGATTGTTCTGTGTCAGAAAAATCCTGGCTTTTGGGATTCACAAATGGCAGCCATTCCAGGTATAAACGACACCGGAAGCCAGATGCCTCTTAGGGGATGTGCATTATGTGCTTGTTGTTACCCACACTGGTGACCAGAACTGAACAATCACAGCACAATCAAGAGTAGCAGACCAACCCTTTCACAATGCTGTCATTTGCAGTTGTGACATCCCAAGGAATGGCTGCTTAGCTTTCTCTTGGTCAAATAACTCTTCCATTGGGAATTTTCTCATAGGATACCAGCAACCAGAATGGATTCCCATTAGGGAATTGGTCAACCTTGTGGGCCTCTGAAGCTAAGTAGGGTCAGGGTTAGGTTAAGTCGGAAACAGCCGCTCATGCAAAAAGGCAGTCTGAAGTGACTCACGGTTACCGCAGCTGTATCAAAATCAAGGGGAAACGGCTCTGGACACAGACCGAATTATCGGTGCTGACTCCAGCCCCAGGCCAGGCCACACAGGCTCTCAGGGGCACCCTCCGCCCTCAATCCGACCAGAAACCAACAAAAAATCAGTGACCAGCCCAAACAAGCCAAGATTAAAGAGAAAATTAAAAGGCGTGAAATTAAAAAAAAAAATCGGCTAAACCGGCAAGCGGGATAGCTGTCAAAACTCTCTCCTAATGCCAAAATGAAAAACCTAGAATCCAGGGAATTGAAATATTCTTCAAAACTTCAAACACTTTCTTCAACAATTTCAACAATTCAGAGCCCTGTAAGGGTGGTTTGAATGAGCCACGACCGAGTGAAGAACTGGGGATTGTACCCGCGTGGGGTGGGGTATGTCCTCAGATTTCAACTCGGTCTGCAGAGCTACGAGGCTTGAGACAACCCAGCCTGGATTCTCCCTTTGGCTCATTGGAGAAAAACCTCAGCAGAGCTCTTCTGGGTAATAGCCAAAGTAAAGACGTGGATCTCTTTATTTTTTCTGGGATCAAGTGTGACGGTTGCAACTGGTGAGGTTCAGGCTGACCCTAGAAGCCTAGTCTAAGGTTGGTCGTTGGAATGGATTTCAGAGGACTTCTTCAACAATGCACAAGGGCAAACGCAACGGACCATTGTTTCCGAGAGATGTTGAAAATCAAGCCTGTTTCCAAGCTCAGGTAGATGCACAACAGGTATGTCTACATGCGGCAAATTCTCCCCAATGAATTCACTCTCCAAATATTACTCTTGGCATTTCCTCAGCTAAACTTCCTTTGCCAAATCACATCTCCAAAATCCAACAGATCCTTTCGTATTAAGTATTCCGGATCTGGACAGGACTTCTATTAATTTTCTTTTTAAAAAGCCTTGAATCAGTTGCCAGAAGGCAGACAGACCAAAAGATCAACAGAAATAAAAGAAAAATCTTGAAGGAACACGCCCCCCACCTCCCTGCAATCCATTGCTTTTTCAGCTCTTGCCCACCAACAATTCTGAAGATACTGTAGGTTGCAACCATTTATTTAAAACTTATTTAAAATACTGGGTAAAAGTTTCAAAGGTCCAATCTGCGTTCAAAGGTTTTATTTTTTATATGCAAAAATAATTCTAAAACGTATTTTGAAAACATGATGCAAAACCAATCTCTTCTTCTTGGAATCTCATTGAGGAAGTCCATGGAGAGCCTGTATCGGGGGCCCTTCAGCTCTCTCTCTCTCATTGGGCCTCTGGTGGTAAACTTGCCTTCCCCCGAGCGTGCGACATGAGCTTCTTCCTGAGTTGTCTAACTTCAGCCATTATTTCCCGTTCTTTCGATTCCAGCTCCTGCCGTCCTCGGTCTAAAGAGACTTGAAAGGTGAAAAGAGGCCTTTTTTTTAAAAAAAAATGATTGGTTACAACTGTCAACTCATAAAACATTCCTATTCCTGTTTTAATAGTTGCCATTAAAAAAAAAAAGGAGGGGGAAGGAAATCTGGATGTTCTGACCAACCCTTTTCCAATAAGACAAACAATAACCAAAGGGAACGGAAACCTTTTAATAAGGCTTACGAATCCCCAGTTAAAAGGCTGATGCAAACTAATTAACTTTGATAAACACAAACCTTGCCAAAACTGTGCGAGGCTGCCAAGAATCACCGATAAGAAATATTTCACAACACAGAGTCTTCAAATACCAAATTAAGATACTGTAATGTCCACGAGGCTGAGTTTCAAAACGTCTTTGCTTCCTGCAAAGAACGTTCGCTTCACAGCTGCTCTTTCCTGTGAGCAATCCTGCGCGTACACATACTTGGCACAGGCTCCTCGGGAACCTCATCGCTGCTGCCAGCCCCCACAATCTCTGAAGGCAGCAGTCCATTCCCTAATGGTCCTGGCCCCTCATCTGAGTCCTCGCTCTCCTCAGCCGTCCGCACCTGCTGCCGGCTAACCACAACACTGGAAGAGCAGTGCAGCAGTTTGAAAGTGAAAGTACATTCCAACTCTTATCTTTAAAAGATTGTAACTAAAATACCAGAGTTTTGCCCCCGAATATATTTAATTGGAAAACATGAATGATGACATCCAGCCAGTGAACGTGCTCAGTTGGGGAATCTGGTTTATGAGACACCCAGGGGGGAGGGGGGAAACAGGGTCACAGGTGACTATAAATTACGTATGCCAGAGTTGGCTTCATACAGGGCAGTGCCAGTATGTCGCCTCTAATAAATCCTTTGAAGTTTCTTGAAGTTTGGCTTGAGAATCATGATTTAATTAGAGCAATTGCTGGAATCCTGACAACAACATTAGCATCACAAGCTCAGTGAGCGTATCTTTTAAATCCAAGAAGCAGCCAGCTGTTTTATTCTGAGGGGACAAATGTTCTTAGGGATTCTATAAGCAATCCCTAGAAGGATTCTATAAGGTAGGATATTTATTTATTTATTTATATTTGTTTGCGGACCATCTTGAGGTTCAGGGTAGGTTGTGGGTCTCATCTATTATGGATGTACCTGAAAAAGGGTCTTCTCAGTGGCTGTCCCTTCTCTATGAAACATCATTCCCTCCAAGGTATGCTTGGCCCCCATCTTGTTGCTTTTCCAAAAGGCCCTGAAGAGGTGGTTTTGGTCAATGGGCTTGAGACCCCAAAGGGAGATGGAGCTTATCAGTTGGTTGATTTCATGGTGTGCCTGCTGCCATGGGGAGAAGTGGGGGAGGTGTTATGGGTTTTTATTTTTGTGGGTTTTTAATGTTGTAAGCCAGCAAAGCTGGCTGAGGAATTCTGGGAGTTGAAGTCCGCCAGGCTTCAAGGGGCCAAGGTTGGACAGCCCTGGTCTACATCTTTCCACCTTCAACAAGCTATTTGATTGCAAGTACTATTTATGGCTACCAAGAACAATCGATACAGCAGTGGGATCTTATCTGTTGAACTTATCTTATCGGTTGAACCAGGCCGAACCGGTAGCATACCACCACTAATCGAATAGATGCAAGAGCAGATGATCACACTTAACATTTTCTCCTTCAAAACCCATATTTTGCCACTTACGGTGGATGGAGGAGTCTCCCCCAGAGGATTCGTTTAAGCAGGTGTTGCTATGTTGCATCTTCCGAAGTTCCTGATGGCATTCTGAACTTTGTCGAGTCTTGGAGGCTCTCAGATCCCGCAGTCGCTCTGTGGAAAGTAGACGCGTTTGAAATATGTTCAGTCAGATAATGCACTTTTGATTTCTATGCCTAGGGTATTCCTTGGGTTGGCTTATAAAACACTTATTTAAAAAACAACAACAAATTAATTCATAAGCCTCCCCAAAATCTTCTGGAGTAGGCGGCCATCATAAATTTATGAAATATATTTTTAAAAGATTCTAATACCATCTCAGGTAGCTGTAATGTTTGGAAAGAGGTAGGTTTTTTTTAAAAAAAAATGATAATGGGAATATAACAAAAGGGAAGAGGTGGATTGCTCGATCTAAAGCAGCGTTTCCTCAATCTTTCTGGGTTGGCAGCAGGGGTGGGATTCTACCAGTTCGCACCTATTCTCTAGAACCGGTTGTTAACATTCTAAGCAGTTTGGAGAACCGATTGTTAGAAGAAATTACTGGCCTAATCCTGTAAGGAAGGCAGGAAGGAAACATTCTGGTGTTGCTTACAGAAACTGCCTTTCTGTTAACCCTTATTACATTCCTGGCAGGACTAGACTTCCTGTCTCTGGAACTTCTCTGGAGTTTTTTTCCCTTCCTTTGCTGGTACTTTGTTTGTGTGGAGTGACCATTCAAAGTTACAATGGCACTGAAAAAAGTGACTTATGACCATTTTTCACACTTACGACTGTTGCAGCATCCCCACAGTCACGAGGCCAGGCGAGGAGATGCGTGCCTCGATGTGAGTTATGTTGAGTTCGCCACACCCAGCCAATAATATGACCACCAAGCCATGTCCACCCGGTCACATGACCACCTAGCCACGCCCACCATCTAAGCCACGCCCACAGAACCAGTTGTTAAAAAATTTGAATCCCACCCCTGGTTGGCGGCCCGGTGTGGTGGGAGGGGGAGAAGAGGGGATGGTTTTGTGTGAGGGGCAGGCGTGCTGGAAGCTTGCACAAGTGGGATTGCGAGTGCGTGCCAGCCCACCGTTTGTGCAGCCTGGTTGTGAAGAGCCCATGGCCCTGGTAGTGGGCCGCGGCCCACAGGTTGGGGACTCCTGCTCTAAAGTCTTCAGGCCAGTGTTTCTCAACCTTGGGAAGTTTAAGATGGGTGGACCGCAACTCCCAGAAGTCCCAGCGGCCGCAATATATGTCTCACGAACAAAACCATAGAGATTTCTGAAGGTCTGTTCTTCCGTTTACCAACAGCTGCTCCACTCACCAAAATAGCCATCTCCCTCCTGAAGCTTTACTGCCAGTTCTATGGCATCATTCATTTCTTGGTTCAGAAACCGCTTCCTGTTGGCATCCGAAGCAGCGGCGATGTCCTGCTGTGCCATCAGCTGCTCTTTTTTCCCCGCGGTTTCCTCCATCTAAAATGGGATAGAAAAGCAGGGCATTTTCATTAGAAAAGGAGCAAGCAGGAAGAGAGAAAGATTATCTCCACAACCGAAAGCCGCTCACAGGGACACCGTCATGTGAAAAAAAAAGAAAAAAAGAAGAAAATGGCAAGAAAATGAGTCTTGTGGTCCACTGGCAGCCTGCGGAGAACGGCAGCAGAATCGGACGGGGAAGAACATGGGCCAGTCCGGGAGTCTGGGGAGGACTTGGATGAGAGTCCTGCGTCTGCCTGGGCCATCTGGGAGTTATGTGCTGACTGCGGAGCCTCCAGAGTCTGGCAGCAGCAAGGCAGAAGAACAGGGGGAGCCTGTTCCCAGTGTGTGTACGCGCGTAGAGCTGCCAGAAGGCAAGAGCAGTTAAGACAAAAGGTGCGACTCTGGAGTAAGGCTTGGCAGTGATTGCCCCTCCCATAAGATATAAAGGAAGTGCAAAGGGACAGGAACCTTTGCAGGAAGCAACACTGTTCAGAAGCTCTGTGTGGCCTTTACAGTTAATTTGGCAGGTTAGTTGTTGGCAGCAATTCAAAGGAGAGAAAGGCGGGTGCTTATCTTGAGAGACTGTTTGGGACTCATTACAGGCTGGGAATGAACATAATTCCCAGCATTGAAATAAAAAGAGTTGTTTGGACTAAGTGTGTGCTTAATTACGGTCTCAAGAAGCCTTGGTCAGAACAATGAGTACAAGTATTCCTCGACTTACAATAGTTCATTTAGTGACCAAGTTCCAACGGTACAGAAAAAAGTGACTTATGACCGTTTTTCACACTTTGAACTGTTGCATTATCTCCACGGTCATGTGATTAAAATACAGACACTTGGCAACTGACTCATATTTATGACATTTGACGTGTTCCAGGGTGATGTGATCATCGTTTGTGGTTTTTTTGGGCAACCAAAGTCAATGGGGAAGCCAGTGAGTTATGAACATTTTTCTCACAACCACTGCCGCATCCCCGTGGTCACTTGATCAATATTCAGATGCTATGCAATCAATATTCAGATTGCTATGACGGTTGCAATATTCTGGGATCACGTGATCCCTGTTTGTGACCTTCTGACAAGCAAAGTCAGTGGGGGAAGCCAGATTCACTATAACAACTGGGTTACTAATTTAACAACTGCATGATTCATTTAACAACTCTGAAGAAAGGTGTTGTGGCCCGCCAGCTACCAGCAGAGCTGGCGGCAGACTCCAACAGTGAGAAGGTTGGGGAGGAACTTAGGCCAGTCCTGGAGTCTGGGAAAGGCTCTGATAGATGCTTAGCGTCAGAAGCAGAGATAGGGCCAAGGCCGTCCGACATTTCCCAGCTGCCTATGGAGTCGGAGATAAGTGGGGAAGAAGAACAGCTGGAGCCTGTTCCAGATGCGCGTATGCGCAGAGCTGTCAGGAGAGGAGAACAACTGAGGAGCAGGGGCCGACTCAGGAAGAAAGGCACGTATGACCACTGAATGGGACCTCCCTGGGGAATAAATAGAAGAAGAAGGGGAGTGGTGGTTGCAGGAGACAATTAATTTATATTTCTTTTGGAAGATATGCTTATCAGAGTTCGTGCCTCACAGAGACTCCTTGCCAGGTATTTAATTTACAGCTTTGCAACTGGAAGCTCTTGGCCTGGCAACTATCCAGGGACTGGTAAGTCCTGTTCTTGCAATTAACCCTAGGGAGATTGTTGCTAGGACTTTTCTGTGAGTAAATGCCACGAATTCACAGTAACTAAATAAAGAGGGATTTTTCGGGACAAGGAGTCTGTTTCTTGGTTCTTCAAAGCCTGGGTCAGAACAAAAGGTTTTAAAATGGGGCAAAATTCACTTAACAAATGCCTCATTGAGCAACAGAAATTTTGGGTTCAACTGTGGTCGTAAATCGAGGACTACCTGTGCAACAGTTTGCTCCAGCATGTTGTGATCAACTCCGAGAATTCTCCAATGGACACATAGCTTGGGAATTTTGATAGTAAAAAGCCCAACACTGTGTCACAGCCCTATTCAATGGACTATTCAAAGCTTATAACCTGTGGGAGTGTAGCAGGCAGGTATTCAAGTGATCCAATTCCTAGCTAGGTCACTTGGCATCAGGTGAGGTAGGAGACAGACAGAAACGAACAAGACCAAGTACTCGTTTGCCTGACAGACAGAGCAACCCAAATCTTGTTTAATCACACAGTTAACTACAATACCCCATAATGAAAGCCACAAGTTCCTTTGGGGTTGTATGTGAACTGGCCTCATGGATTTCATCAGTCACCATAGTAGCAGAATATCTGTAGGTCAGGGTTGAAATGAGGGTTCCTTGGTGCTCTCGGAGCTTGGCTGCTTTCCTGAAGACATTTCATAACTCAAACTAAGTACAGGTAGTCCTTGAGTTAAGATCACAATAGAGCCCAAAATGGATGTTGCTAAGTGGAACATTTGTGAAGTGAGTTTTGCCCCATTTTACGACTTTGTTTTGCCACGGTTGTTAAGTGAATCATTGTTTGTTCAGTTAGTAGAATAGACTAGAATTCTTTATTGGCCAAGTGTGACTGGACACACAAAGAATTTGCCTTTGGTGCACATGCTCTCAGTGTACATTAAAAAAAAATACATTCGTCAAGAATTATAAGTTACTTAGCGACTGTTAAGTGAATCTGGCTTCTCCATTAACTTTGCTTGACAGAAAATCGCAAAAGCTGATCACCTTGCAACCGTCATAAACAGTGGAGGTATTCTACTGGTTCGGGAGAACCGATAGTAAAAAATATTACTGTTCAGCCAAACCGGCAGTAAAAAAATAGCTATTTCCTTTCATTTCCTTTTTTTCCTCCCGACAATCAGCTGTTCTGACAGGATCCCCCTTGATGTCTTACTGCTTCACCCACGAGGCTTCTCTGAGGCCCAGGAGGCAAAAAGGGACACACACGCACGCGCGCGTGTGTGTATGTGTGTGTGTGTGTGTGGTGTGTGGCCCTCCAGCGCTCTGTTTTTTTTGCCTCCTGGGCCTCGGGGAAGCCTCCTGGAAGCAAAAATGGCCTCCCAAGAGCCTTCCCTGAGCCCCAGAAGGCAAAAAAATACAGCGCAGGGAGGTGCTGCTGCAAAAAACAAAACAATAAAAAAGAAGCCACGCCCATCCAGTCACATGGCCACGCCCATCTATCCACGCCCAGAGAACCGCTAATAAAAAAATTTGAATCCCACCCCTGGTCATAAAGATGAACCAGTAGCCAAGCGTCCAAATTTTGATCACATGACCACAGGGTTGCTGCAAGTCACAAGTGTGAAGAAGGGTCCTAAGTCACCTTTTTCAGCCCCATTGTAACACTGAACAGTCACTAAATGGATTATTTAAGTTGAGGACTTACCTGTAACATCATCAGTGCCGGTCTGCTATCACTAACCTCACTAGCACTGATGATGTTACCTAGTTTGGGTAATGAAATGTCTGCAAGAAAATAACCAAGCTCAGAGACCACCAAGGACCCCCTCAGATTTCAGGTTCTCATCCTTTCACCCTGCCGTGGACAGAACAGCAGAGGCCAATCTTTAGCAGACTTTTTAGCCACTCACCTTTTCGGTCAACTCTTCTTTCATTGCCTCAAGCAGCTTAACTTCTGCCATTCTGGTCTTGTGAAGGAGTTCGGCCACCTCTTGGTATCGCTGGTCCCGGTCCATGTCGTCACCGATTCGCTTGTGGAGGAGCTCCATTTGCCAACTCACATCGATGTTTTCTTGATGGGCTTTGGCCAAACATTCTTCGAGCACCTAAGATGGCACAAATCGCGTCACAGAGCACCAGACTCTGAAGCTGCACATCTTCCTTCCAGCAAATGTCTATTATGAAGATTCTTAAGTTTACCCAGGTTGTGGTTGTCCCAAGGGTGCCTTTTTTTAAAGAGGCAACTGGACTTTCTGGTTTTTCTTTGAAGACGTTTTGCTTCTCATCCAAGAAGCTTCTTCAGCTCTGACTGGATGGTGCACAATGGAAGTATTCCTTCATAAACACTTCACAAACGTGTGGCACAACGTAAGAGAACAAACCCATCAGGGCAAGACTCAGCAGTCCATCTGCATTTAAAAGACAAAGGTCACTCTTTTGAAGGCAGCAAAGTCCACATTTTGGACAGACAGGACCGCTGGTTTGAAAGAGGGGTCAAAGTTGAACACGTCTCTCTCAACAGAAGGTGAGGAATACGAATCTCCAGTCTACAACACAGTCTTTTCAACAGTTCCAAGAAGGCTCCACACCTATTTGCACTATTCAGGTGACCTGGAGGACACAAATAAATCTCCAAGTGGCCTCAACGACTCTCTAAAAAAAATGCAAATGACCAGTTGTCTGCATCCTTCTCCATCATCCAGTCAGAACTGAAGAAGCTCCTTGGATGAGAAACAAAACATCTTCAAAGAAAAACCAGAAAGTCCAGTTGCTTCTTAAAAAAAGCACCCTTGGGATTCCTTCCAGCAAGACATTAAGCTTATGAACTGCCACTTATAAGATCGTCTGTGATTAAAAACCTGCCTCAAATGATCAAGAAGGATTAGTTGATCTACAAATTATTTCTGTAAACTGGTATGATTTTAAAAAAAGTAGGAGATGATACTTACTAGTTATTTTGTGAGACTGAGACAGACAACAATCATTTTCTCTATGTAGGAAATATTAATAAGAATTGTCAAGGATAGTGAGTGGGAAACTAGTTTAGACACACAGGAATTTCAGGAAAAATGTACCTACTTGAAGACAAATAAGGTTTGTGTGAATGCTCTCCTGCATACTCCGAAGCACTTTTTTTTGCTTTTAAATCCAAGTACCACACAGAGCTACAAGTAGTCCTCACTTAATGACCGGTTGCTTAGCAACTGTTCCAAGTTATGATGGGTCTCTCCAGAGTTAATTATGGCCTGGTTCTGGAGTTCTGACAGCTGAGACCCAGTGGAAAGCTCACATTTATGGCTGTTTGCAGCATCCCGCAGTCATGTCACCATGATTTTTGCCAGGTTTTGCCAGTTTCCAGCATTTACTTCTGGATTCAAAAACATTCACTGGAGAAAATGATTGCAGCAGTCACTTAACAATTGAGGCATTTGCTTAACAACTACCGCAAAACAGATCATAAAATTGGACACAGTTACATGGTGATCTGCTTAATGATCATCACTTATAATTGTAATTCTGGGCTTAGGAGTGGTCATAAGTCGAGGACTACCTGTACAAGATAATCCTACGCCAATAATGGAAAGAATTCATCTTGGAAACCTCTAAATGTTCTATGATCTTTTGTACCAATTCAAAGCCTCCCCCACTGGAGGAAGACAGCAAAGATCCCTTAATTCCCATTCATCCTGTCTGGAAGGGCCAACAGTCAGTGAATTTAGCAACAGATGCCCCAAATATCTGGAGAATATTCAATAGTATCGCACGAGGATCTCACTTCATGAGCTTTCCAGTTTCCTCCTTGTTCTGCTTCAATCAACCTCTGAAATAAATGTTCTTCGAGATCAGCTTTCCTCCGGCTGGTGTCCATCTCCCCTTTGACTTCTTGTGTCATGGCTTCCTGCTCTTTGACAAGGTTCTGATTTAATAAAAAAAAAAAAAAAGACAGTAGTGGGATAACAAACTCCAAATCAAAACTAAAAATGTTTTTCCCCCCCAAACTGACAGGAGTTTCTCACAAGGGAAAATACTGTATGGTGGGATAATTCCATTCGTGATCATGCTAAATCAGTTTGTCCCAAAAGTGCTTTTTTTCATGAGGCAATTGGACTTTCCGGTTTTTCTTTGAAGACATTTCGCTTCTCATCCAAGAAGCTTCTTCAGCTCTGGCTTGGATGAGAAGCAAAACGTCTTCAAAGAAAAACCAGAAAGTCCAATTGCCTCTTGAAAAAGCACTTTTGGGACAACTATGACCTGGATGACTGAGAATCTCCATAGACTAAGTCAGTTTGCTTCCTTCAACCACCTTTTAATGATCGAATATAAATTATATGAATATATTATATAAATATCAGAATATTGATGATTATTTTGGATAATTGGACTACTTTCTATTTTCCTAACCTACTTTTCTTGAATTAAATCTCAGATACAAACACCATCTTATCCGTCTCTTCCTTTCTTGCATTTGGTCTTATTAAATATACCCTAAGGCCGAGATAGTCAAGAATAGAAACAATGAATGCAATTCCCTCCTCTCCATGAAGCTGGGAATGGCTGGCATTCAATGAATTATGGCAAGCTCAGAGCAACATGATCCCTCAAAAATGATTAGATGGTACTTGCAAATTGTTAAAAAAATCATAGGGGTATTAATATTGCAATTGCATATGCCCATATATTAATTATCCAGATACAGATATGCATCTCAATAGTTAAAAATGTGCAAAATGATTACCTCTTACAGATTTTTGTGTTTTTTCATGAGATGTTGTTCTTGCATAAGAAAAACATTGTTATTTTGTTTGTTTCTAACACAAAAAACTTTTCCCTAGAACAACAACTTCGTGAGATGAGTTGGGCTGAGAGAGTGAGTTCATCCAGCTGACCTTCATGACTAAGATGGGACTTGAACTCATGGTCTCCTGCCTTCTAGGCTGGTACTTTAAGCACTAGACCAAACCTGACTGTTCAAATACTTTAAAAAAAAAATTACTTATCAATTACTTATGGGAACAGTAGTGTCCGAAAATGTTGCTAACTTTCTATCTCGTAACATTGATCACACATTCAAGACTTCTATCACTTTGCAACTAGAGCAAATCTAAGCCTAGCAGGGACCCTTCTATACTGATATGCAACATTCCAAATCCAATTTTTACCAGAACCCAATCCAAGCCAAACGTATAAGCTAGAAGGGTTCCTTTGGCACTCATAGAACAGGCCTAGATGCCTGGTTATTTTGGCCTCTGGAATACCTAGGTTCTGGTCACGTACCTGTTCAAAAAGTCGCCGCTGAGTTTCGAGCTCCATCTGCCGCACCTCGACGTCTCGAATGGTAGCTGCCGTTTCTTCTTCTCGCATGGACGCCTACAGGAAATGCAGGTGGTCACACCAAAGCAGCCAAATTGTTTACCCTTTTCTAATTTTTTCTACCCTTTCTAATTTTTCTGGTAGAAAAAATTAAAACTCGCAGGGGTTGGATTCTTGCCTCTTGTGAAAAGTATTTTACCACACGTTTTCACCATTTCTAAACCAGGAATAGAGGGGGGATTTTGTTAATTACAGATGTGTGAGTCACAATTCAGATGGGCAGCTTTGTGTATGTACATTAGCCCACACACTGCGGCTGTAGTATTATTATTTACCCTTTTTATTATCTTCTTTACCTCCCTCTTTTATCAGTATTATTATTATTATTCTCTCTGTTGCTTTGCAAGTACACTGAGGGCTTTGTACCGGAGACAAATTTCTTGTGTGTCTAATGTAATCACACTTGGCTAAATAAAGTAATCAAATCAATTGTTTTCTACAGCTTGTCTGGTTTTATAACTTTCCATAAGAGATGTAGGATCCCCTATCAAAGTTTTTTTTTTTTTTAACAAACTTTATTCAGTTTTTCACATTAAAAACAAAAATCTCTTTTTAGTGGACAACATATTTCCTTTACATACAAATATGACAGCAATTATACATTGATATATGCATACTTAATTCTATTATTACTTTTTCCATTCCAAATTTTCAGTAAGGAGAGAAACAAACACATTAATTCTAGCCTCTTTCATAGGATCTCCTATCAAAGTTGAGAGGGCCCAGCATACCATATAACCGAGGTCAGAATGTCTGAGAATGAGTTTGAAAGTTTTCTTTTTTTGCTTTTCAATTACTGTTAAGCCTAGGGCTGTAGTAGGGTGGACTGTTGTCTGGATTCCCAGGAAGGAGGGCTGCATTCCACAGGAGCAGGAACAGAGAGGAAATTTGTGTGGGAGAAAGTATATTAAGAGCAGGGGTGGGGTTCAAAAATCCCAGCAACCGGTTTGCTGCCCAGTTGCTGGGTGGGCGTGGCCATGGTGGGCGTGGCCATCTGGAACTTCCGGGAGGGCCGTTTTTTGCCTTCCCAAGGGTTTGGAGGCTTCCCTCGGGCCTCTGGGAGGACAAAAATGGCCTCCCCTGGGCTCTGGAGGCCCTCTGAAAGCCGGAAACAGGCCCATTTTGCAACTTCCGGTACTTACAGCAGGGCCATTTTTCCCCCTCCCAGACCCTGGAACAGTCAGGAACAGGGAAAATGTGGCCGAAACTTGTTCCCTTGGAGGAACCGAGGAAGCCAATCAAACAAAAATGTCAGAAGTGCAGATGTCCCTGTGCTCTGACCTAGGCTTCCCCAACAGCACGAAGCCAACTCCTCGTTCTGATAAACCCCTTTTATTTAGTTTACAGTGAATTCCTCTCCAGCAAAGTCCCGGCCAACAGTCTTTCAAGATATTTCACTATTACAGACAGTTATCAGTTGCCAGACCGATAACTTTCAGATGCCAGACTGCAGCAGACAGTAATGGGCAAGAATGCAGGAACAGATTGTCACCCAAATGAACTAATTGTCTCCTGCAAAACCCCACTTCCCTTTCGCTCCTCTTTTATTCCCTATGGGAGGGGCCATTCACTGTCCACCTGTGGCTTTACTCTCAAGTCGACCCTTGTTCCTTAGCTGTTCCCTTCATCTGGCAACTCTGCGCATGCACACACTGGGAACAAGCTCCAGCTATTCTTCTGCCTCACTGATGTCCAACTCCGAAGGCATCTGATAACTGTCAGACAGCCCTGCCTCCGACGCAGAGCCCTCGTCAGAGCCTTCCCCAGACTCCAGGACTGGCCCATGTTCCTCCCCAACTTCCTCACTGTCCGAATCTGCTTTCAGCTCTGCTGGCCGCTGGCCGGCCACAACAACAGGTGAAATGGAACTGATTACCTTTCTTGCAATTTCATCGTCAAGTCTTTTAACCTCCATTTCCCGCTGATCTTGCTGGTATTTTAGAAAGCGTCTCCGTGCGGCATCCACCAACTGCAGTTCCTTCATTTTCAGTTCTCTCTTGACGGCAGCTAACCTTCAGGGCCAAATAGAAAAGAGAGCTTAAGAAGGGCAGGAACACATGGATGGATGCAAACGGACCAGGTAAAAGTTTGGACAGCTCATCCTAAGTTACTTCTTTTGGAGCAGGCAAAAGATTCACATGATCCTGCATTCTGTTAGTGGCAATCAGATTTTGAGAATGGTGCATAGAAAAGACAACAGATCTCTCTCCTGACTTAAACTTTTGTTTTGTAAACTGTCCTCCCATTAGGCTTCCAGGTGTAACTCAAAGTGTTGGTTATTTGTTCAGAGTTAGCAGGGCCCAGTTGTTACTGTTGGAGAGATTACCTTTGGTGGGCATTCTTTTGCTCTGATTATGTGCGATTTTGTTTTGTTATTATTTGTACTCCTGCTTTTAAATTTGTTTGTTGCCCAAAGTCATGCTGACAAGATGATATAAATAAAATCAAATACAAAATAAAATAAATGAACATGCTCCAGTAAATTATATTGGAGGAGCATTTACTTGATTTTAAAATTGGAGGAAGAAACATCATGAACACATATTATGCCCATGACGTTACTCTGATAAGCTAAAAATGCATAGGATCTGGAAAATCTGGTAATAAACTCAAGGAGCTCTGATATAAAGAAGATCAAACCAACCAAACTCAAATTATCCTACTTTGGACACATAGTATGAAGATCCAGTTGTCTAGAAAATGTAGTATTTGTCTACTCATCATGCAGCTTCACTGGGTAGCCCTGGGTTCCAGTTTTTACAAAAGAGCCAAAATATTTTTCCATTCACTTTCTCCTTACTGTGCATATTTTTATATACCTTTCATATCCTTCTGTCACTTGTCTTTTTTCTGAGGCATAAATAATTTTTAATCCAGGTCTCTACAAAGCAGTGGTCTAAATAGGCAATCTCTGTTTTGTAAGAGGAATGGAATGGATATCAGTTGAATAATTGAGTAGACAACGATTAGGATGCTTTGATTTGTTTTCTGTATTGAGAGAGGCTTAGACACCATGGCCTGTATATATTATGAAGGGCAACCCTAAGTTTGGCTTATGATCACTCGCGGACATGCAGCCTGGACCTTGCCGTGTGATGTTGCAGGCTCCACTTGCTTTCTACCCGGGCTTTCCAGACAAGAGTGGGCCAGCTGTTGAATGCCTGACATGCAGTCTTGTGTTATAGATCCACACCCGGACCCTTCTCTGGATACAAGTTCAGAAGAGGATGAGGAGTTTGAGTTGGCAGAGGAAAGAGTGGCGCCGAGTGATGGTCTGAGGCCTGATGGAGCAGCCTCAGCTGGGTTGATTGGATGACCAACAGGCTTAGGCTGGGGCAGGAGAGCTGCAGCAATTTGACCAGGAGGCTCCAGGCAAGGACCAGTTGTCATGCCCCTGGTGGAGACTGACTCTGAGGGAGAAGAGGAACAGCCAACAGGGAGTGGAAGTGTGGCTCCAGAGGTGGTGGAGGAAGCTGGGGAAGAGCAGAGGCTGGCTTTGCAGTCAGAGGAGGACCCAGAGGATCAGGGAAAAATGTGGTCTACTCGGGAGGAGAGGGCCATGATCCTCTTCATGGGTTGCAGGTGTGAGATCTGCATAAGAGTTTGGACCTGCCTGCTAACAAACGCTGGAGACAAATTAGTGTTTTATTCCTAGAGGTTTATCTTGGTTGGCGTTCTTCTAATGGACTGTACCTGGTTATCTTCCTGAAGTTGGTTAATTATTTATCGTGGTCTGTCATTGGAACTTTATTCAGTGCAGTTTGTTTTTGGTTTTTGCTTCGTTATCGGCTCTTTGAATGTGAACTGTGTTTCTTGCCTTTGAAATGTTAATTTGAAAACAGTTTACTCCTCCACTATGAACAATTAAACAGTGAAGCCAAGTTGAAGGCATTAAAGGACCTTTATTTGTGTTTTTGTTTTTGTTATATATTTCTGATACACGCCGGGTCATCACACCAGTCCACACCTCCTCCCGATCCAAGGACAGGTAGGGCAGAGAGGAGACAGGTAGAACGCAGGTCAGCTAGACTACTCATGAGGAGGCAACCACGCCTCTCATGAATAGCTGCACAGGCATTGCCTACTTAATCCCACCCTGAGGACTTGAGTGTTGCTGGAGCCATGTGCACAGTTCTGTGCCTTGTGTGCTTATGCCGTGTATCCTGACCTGTTCGACTGCTTTCCTGGACTTCATGTTGGAATCAGTTACCCAGTGACTCCTGCCGTGGGGAGCTCAGAATCCAAACCTATGCAACGGAGGTGTTTTCTAAGGACCTGTTTTTTTTTTTGGGGGGGGGGGGGGTGTCATGTGCCTAGTGGAGACTGACTCTGAGCAGTCAGAGGAGGACCCAGGCCCACCCACTATCCATCCTAGGGCACGCAGGGAGGAGAGGATCAGGGTAAAACATGGTCTACTCGGGAGGAGAGGGCCATGATCCTCTTCATGGGTTGCAGGTGTGAGATCTGCATAAGAGTTTGGACCTGCGTGTTATTAGACGCTGGAGACAAATTAGTGTTTTATTTCTAAAGGTTTATCTTGGTTGGCGTTCTTCCAACGGATTGTCCCTGGTTATTTTCCTGAAGTTGGCAATTATCTATCCTGGTCTGTCGAGGAACTTTATTCAATGTGGTTTGTTTTTGTTTTTTGCTTCGTTACCGGCTCTTTGAATGTGAACTGTGTTTTTTGCCTTTGAAATGTTATTTTGAAAACAGTTTACTCCTCCACTGTGAACAATTAAACAGTGAAGCCAAGTTGAAGGCATTGAAGGACCTTTATTTTACGTTTTGGTTTTTGTTATATTTCTAATATACTCTGGGTCATCACGGGGGGGAATAAACCCCTGTAGAACTCTTGCTGTATGTTCATGTGAGAGGGAAGTGGGGCAGCACATCTTGTGACCGTGGGATAGGAAGCAACTGGCTGTCAGAATTCAGAACCAGTTTATAAACACCCCCAGAGTGATCCATGATAACTTTGAACCGTCGCTGAGTGGCCGGTTTAGTCGAGGATTATCTGAAACAGGTTCACCCCACCCCTGAATTTCAGCATTCAGTTTCCGAACAACTACCACGAGAAGCAAAGGTGTTAACACTCAACCTACCGCCGCCTCTGTTCTGCTAGTTTTTCCTCTTCGGTGAGAAGAATCTTCCTCCTTTGCTCCTCGGCTTCTTGAAGCAGCTCCTGCTTCCGATACCATGTTTCATCTTCTACTCGGTGCTCGATTGCTTTGGCTTCAATTTCATGCAGCAGCTGCCTGCAAGGAAGCATTTAATTGGTGATATTCTCCTGCAGGGGTCAAGGAAATGTGTGGTCCCCCTCCAGACTGGGCAGGAAAAGGAGGTTAATCTTGGTTTCAGCTACTGAGTAACTTATGCTTCATCTGATCAGTGTGATATATATTTGGGTTACAGCAGAGGTCTCCAAACTTGGCAACTCTAAGACTTGTGGATTTCAACTCCCAAAATTCTGGGAGTTGAAGTCCACAAGTCTTAAAGTTGTCAAGTTTGGGGACCCCTGGGTTACAGGGTCAAAGCCAACTTTCTCCACACTGGAGAAGATTGACTGAAGCAATTCATAGCATGCAATGTACTGATACTCATTTTCTTTCTGATAATAATAACCCCCCCCCCCCATTTTTTTTCTTCTCTATCTCCCAAACATCAGGCAGCAGAGAAGAGGAAGACAGTTCATCTCCCAAAGAAGTAGCTAAATTACACACTGAGTTCATACACATGATATCAGCTTACAACCTCAAGCTGGACGGCATTAAGATCTTCAAAGTAAACTCACAAGGAAGAGTAAAACAGCCTAGTTTATATTCTATAAAAGTCCAGAATATGTTTTTTCAACCTCCCAGTTGTCCTGGACTGTAATTCAACCATCTTGGTCAGCAAATGTGTCCTGCTTGCTATAAATAATGGATGGATATTATAATACTAACACAGCCAGAATTGTGTTTTCTTAAAACACCAGCGTTTTCAAGACACCGGCTGTATTAATAATGATTGGGAATGTGAAGATGTGCTAGGACAATTTTTTTTCCTGTTGCTCCCCCTCTGGTTTGATTCAGTGAAGATTACTCTGAGTAAATCAAGCCAAAAATGTAGAGAAAAAGGCAAATATGTGAGGTGTAATCCCCTACTGGCACTGAGTACCTGAGCCCATGGGTCTGAGTAAACCTTTAACTGTGTTATTATCATTTTCTTCCACATAAGTTTATGTTCATATCGATCTTTCCATCAGATTCAAGAATACCTACCTCTCTCTTAGGTACTCAATTTCCTCCTGTCTGATCCGTTCTCGTTCCTGGGACTGGTAATCCACAATGAACTTGGGGTACTTATTAAAGATGGGGTACTGCCCTTTGGTCAGCGGGGCGAAGTCCTCCAGCATACGAATGGGGTGGATGTTGTCCGGGGTGCACTCCATGAGATGGTAGGCCTCTCGGATCACCATGCTGACGTCCAGGTGGTTCCGATGATGGAAGAAATACTGCAGACCAACGGAAGCACAAAGAAAACCATACTGAAGCTGCTACCGGTATGGTTCTTTTTTTTTTTTTCCCCAATTTCTTCATTTGTATCCCATCTTTATTATTTGTACAAATAACTCAAGGTGGCAAACACATCCAATACACCTTCCTCCTACTGTTTTCCCCACAATAAAAACCTTGTAAAGAGAGAGAGAAAGGGAGAGAGGGAGGGAAGGGGAGAGAGAGAGAGAGAGAAAGAGAGAAAGAGAGAGAGAGAGAGAGAGAGAGAGCGAGCACTGTTTGGAAATGGGCAACAGAAGTGGTGGGCATCCAGGGGTGGGCTGCTAGGGGTTCGCCCCGGTTCAGGCGAACCTGTAGCTAATGTTATGGCCGGTTTGGCCAACCAGCAAATCCCACCCCTGGCTGGCCCCGCCTACCCTCCCCTCCCTCCCAGTTGTCTCCACGCAGCTCGTTTTAGACGCAAGGGAAGTGCAGAGCCCACACAGAGTCTGGGGAGGCTGAAAAATGGGCCTCCCGGAAGTTCCGGAAGTCCGAAAACGGGCCCGTTTCTGGCCTCCAGAGCCCAGGGAGGCTGTTTTCGCCCTCCGGAGGCTCAAGAAAAGCCTCTGGAGCCAGGGAGGGAGAAAACACCCCCCCCCCCTGCCGTGGTGCAGGAGGCCGACTAGGTCATGCCCACCATGCAACCAGGCAGAGACCCGGTTGCTGAAATTTTTGAAGCCCACCCCTGCGTGCATCTCTACTTGTGCCAGCAGTGGGAAAGCCCCTGCACGCACTGTTAAGCCTGGATTCCCCAACGGGTGTTAAGGAAAACAAACTAAACAGAATGTGCAGCGAAGTCAGATAGGAAGACAGGTAAATGTGTGAGATAAGCCTTCTCGTTAACAGATACGCTTGTGCTATCAAAATTATAATTTATTCCATTTAAGAATTATAGCATAGTCATTATAAACAGTCCATTAGTCATATACCAAATTCAGTCAAGTCTTGTCGAGGATACTCTAATTGCAGAGTCCGTGTCGAATAGCCAGTGTCAGTACACATATAATAAATTTGTCCAAAACTTATCTTCTCTCCGTTGAGAAATATCTTCAAAGTAATCCAACACTTCTTCTCCTCCCCGATCCAGCAAGAACGCAGTCTCCAATAAGCCAGCCAGTAATTAGGGATCAGTAAGCCAGAGAGTGCCTTGCTGCTTATATAGTACTTTTACAGCTGCACCCTTAATTACATTCCTTTAGCTTAAAGTCACATACACTTTATCTGACAAACCATGACTCATCATTTTATTATCTTTACCCAAAACAGTTAGGGTAAAACAATGTTATCCCTAACACGCACGATCCATTTCTACAAGCAACGGGCAAGTGTGTATCCACTGCTTGCACAAACAGAGCTGCGCGCATGCATGTGGATATGGAACTGTCCTCTTTTCTCCCCCCCCCCCCCCCAACAGTCTGCAAAGCCCAAAAGGTTTGCGAACTCTGGATTTAGGACTCAAAATCAGAGCTGCTCATCCTTGGAATATACTGCTTGGTCAAACTGTTAAAACACCAGGCTGTAAAGTGGGAGGTCACGAGTTCAAGGCCTGCCTTAGCCACAAAAGCCAACTGGGTGACTTTGAGCCAGTCTCTCCTCTCTCTCTCTCTCTCTCAGCTCAACCTACCCCACAGGGCTGTTGTTGTGGGGAAAAGATCAGGAGGAAGGTGTGTTGGATATATTTGCTGCCTTGAGTTATTTGTAAAAATAATAAAGGCGGGATTAAATTAAGTAAGTAAATACATACATACAGCAAGAGGCTTACCTCAAAGTCCTCCTTCTGATTGCAGTGAAGCAATGGAGCCCTGGAGCAGATAAGGTAGGCAGCCACCACCATCAGCAAGTAGGAGGGATGGTTGGAGAAGATATTATCAAACATTTTCAGCCATTCTTCCCTTGTCAGGACTTCAGAGAACATGGTTTCCAGAAGGGGCCAGGCATAGCTCTGCAATTACAGGCAGAGAGATCAGTTACAGTTGCTGTATCTCTTGCAGCACCAAAACAGGAGTTCAACTCAAGCACAAAATGTCCAGGGGGAAAAAAAAGTTTATTACATCTTGGAAAATTCAGGTTCCAGTTGTCCCAGGACCATAAACTTTGCCTAGGAACAACTTGGCTTGGCGTGACAGGAATTTGTAATCCGGAAGATTTAGAGGACATCAGTTTTAAAAGGCAGTTTTGTTCTGTACAAAATTACAGCCTAGCACAGGGGTCTCCAAATTTGATAGCTTTAAGACTTGTGGACTTCAACTCCCAGAATCCCTCCTCCAGTCATGTTAGCTTAGGAATTCTGGGAGTTGAAGTCCACAAATCTTAAACTTGCCAAGTTTGAAGACCCTTGGCCTAGCAGATTGGTTGAAGCCCTGGTGGTACAGTGGTGAAAGTGCGATATTGCAGGCAAACTCTGCCCACAGCCTGGTGTTTGATCCTGATCAACTCAAAGTTAACTAAGCTTTCCATCCTTCTGAGGTCAGTTAAACAAGAATCCAGATTGTTGGGAGAAACATGAAAATCATTCTTTGACATTGTAAATCACCCAGAGATTGCTGCATGGGGTGGCACATAAGCCTACGGCTATTGAAGATTGTAATCTTTGGTTATAAATCAGGGCTAAGAATCTGAAATCACAGAGCCTTCTATGATTTTTGATTTTATCTTCTGCATGATTGTTTCCTGCTATAACTGCCAGACTGAAGGCAAGAAATGGAGGGAAAAAAAGTACCATAAACCTCAAATAGACATAACCTAATTTACACCAAAAATGTAAGGTACCACTTTGAATGCTCATACCCGAAGTTCACAAAGTATAAGCTGAAAAGGTGGGGGCCAAAATCTCTTGGGGGTAGTGTGGTGACTGCAAGATAAATGTTTACTTGAGTGTATGGGAGGTCTACCTTGAATTTACATTCTCATATTAAAGAGGAGGGTGTTAAAATTTTCAGAGTTTTTGACACTTTAATGCCTTACATTGCTCTTTCCCAACCTCAGCAACTTTATGAAGTATGGACTACAACTCCCAGAATTCCAGCATGGCTGGCTGGGGAATTCTGAGAGTTGAAGTCCATACCTCTTAAAGTTGTCCAGGTTGAGAAACAGTGCTGGACACAACAGACTGTCTTCCCACATCTTTCTTCAGCCACAATGTGGTTTGTTTAATTCCACACACCCTTCGCCAGAACAAAAAAAAAAACCCAGTTGCTCGCAAACCGTGGTTTCCGGCTCATCTCAATTTATCTTTTCTTTCTTTTTCTTTTTACCTGGGAGGTTATATTGTACTTCATCAAATGGTGAAGAAACTCTTTGTCATGATGTGCCAGGATGTTTTCCACCATGCTGAGGACGTTGACGGGAGGGTTTGGGAAAAATTCAAACCAATGCTGACACCAATTGACTGAAAAAGAAAACATGCATGTCAGTGGTTATTGGCTGTGCTTCAATACAGCGTAACCAGAAGGCAAGGCCTTCTCTCACCACGGCAAATGCATGACCTCTGAGTGGCCCTTTTTTTCCTCAGCACCAACCGTGGCACCTGAGGAACATGAGAACTGCAATCCAACACATCTGGAAGGCACAAAAAAATGAGGAAATCTAAGGGACATGAAGGAGCCCTCTGGATTCTTCTGTCTGCCACTTGCATTGTTTTTCCTCCGCAAAAAATGGAGGCTGGAGCCACAACTAGCAACTTGGGAGTTCTGATTCCTCCACCTTCCCAAGATGCTCAGAGGCTCTGAAGAGAAACCGAGTTGCTCCAAAGTTTCAGCCGGCCATGATTTTTTTGGGTGGGGTGGGGTGGGGGGAATACAGGTAGTGCTTGAATTACAACCATTCGTTTAGTGACTGTGGAAAGTTACAATGACACTGAAAAAAATCAATAAAGGATGTTTTTCATACTTACGAATGTTACAGCATCCCCATGGTCAAAATTCAGACCCTTGGCAACCGACTCATATTTATGACGGTTGCAGTGATCTCCTTTTGTGACTTTCTGACATATGAAGTCAGAATGCAGTACTGCCGGCTACTTCTGCTGACTGCCGGCTGCCTGCAATTTGGCAGTTCGAATCTCACTAGGCTCCAGGCTGACTATTGTGGTTCGCCGGCAGCAGGTGTGGACGGCAGAGGTCTCTGACAGCAAGGACGAAAGGGAACCAGTCAGGGACCCTGGCGAGGACTTGGACGAGGGGCCTGCCTCTGATGCAGGGATGGGGCCAGGACGATTGGAGAGTGGGGTGCTGCCTTCGGAACTTTTGGAGTCTGGCAGCAGTGAAGCAGAGGCCCCTGGGAAGCGTGTTCCCAGTGCGTGTGTGCGCAGGGCTGCTCGAAGGAGAGAGCAGCTGAAGCAGCAAGGGTGACTCGGGAGTAAGGCTGGAAGGTGATGGCCCCTCCCATAAGGGATAAAAACCAGCCCTCGGGGATGTGCTCTTTGCAGGAAGCAAAGAAGTTCTTTAGACTCTGAGTCCTCGTTGAAGCCCTGCGAACTCCGGTTTGGTTTTGAAACTTCTGTCGGTTGATATTTATCAGTTATCAGTCTTCTGTTCTTGGCAGCCTTTTATAACCTTGAAAGGACTTGCTTTTATCTTGGACAATTAGGTTTAAATGACTCTTGGCTGGGAATGCAAAGAATTCCCAGCACCGCATTAAAAAAGGTTTGCTTTTATACACAGATTGTGTTTAATTTGAACAAGGCTTGGGTCTGAACACTGACTGAGCCTACCATCCTTGCGACATCGGTAAAACGAGGACCCAGATTATTGGGGGGCAATTAGGCTGACTCTGTAAACCTCTTAGAGAGGGCTGTAAAGCATTGTGAAGCGGTGTATAAGTTTAAAGTCAATGTGATGACCCGGGGCGTGGCACAAAGGTAACACAGTCAGATAATCAGTAGGAGTCCCTTTATTAGCTCCAACTTTGCCCCCAATGTCCTGGTTCCCCTCTGGGCTGGAGAAAAACTCTCCCAGGAACAGTCTTTGGCTGCAGAGAATCAAGTCCAAAACATGGTCAACAAAAACTGTAACTATAAGTCCAATCAAAGGAAGATGAGGTAATTATTCCGACAGGGCAGGAAAAGGAATTCCAGATGTGAAGGCACGGCAATAACTCAACACGGTTGGGAAGACACCAGGAACACAGATAAGCAAAGTCACCACAAGATAAACTCACTTTTGCTCCCAGCACCTGCTGCACTCAGCATGCATCTCTTTTAAACTCTCTTCCCAAGTGTGGCTAATGAATCAGGGCTCTTTCCTCCCCTGTAAGCCACGCAACCCACGTTGCTCTCTTCTCTGTTCCTCCCTGTGTGCCTTAGGATGAAGAGGGGGTGAGCCTCGGTCTTCCTCTGAACTCCCTCTCTCTTGTTCTACCTCTCCCCTACTCTGCCCAGCTGGACTTTGCCCTTCCCCAATTTCCTCCACAGCCAACGGAGCCACACTCTCACTTCCTGTCAGCTGTTCATCTTCCTCCTCGGATTCCGACTCTGACAGGGGCATGACAGTCAATGGGAAGGCCAGATTCACTTAACAACCATGTTCCTAAATGCAACAACTATGGCAAGAAAGATTGTAAAATGGAGCAGAATTCACTTAACAACTGTCATGCTTAGCAATGGAAATTTTGGCCTGAATTGTGGTCGTAAGCCGAGGACTATGACAAATCTTCCCACCTAGCCATAGTGGACACTCGCAGCTCTCCACAGAGAACTGAACTCCAATGTCCACTTGGCAACATTAAAGCTCTGCCAGATGTTGAACAGCCCAGCAGGCCTGTTTGGTGGCCTTTCCATCAAAAATCCTTACTTACTTATTACGGTAGCCACCACCTCAAAGCAGATGAGCTGGTTGTTCTGGAAGAGTTTGACGAAGGGAAAAACCAGCAGAGGGATGTAAGGCATCTCGCCAAAGATGGTGGACCAGTGAGCCAGGCCAGAAAGAGTCCTGAGGACAAAGAAAAAGGCGTTGTGTAGAAAAAGTAGGCAAGAATCTTGCACAATAAAACAAAACCAGAGCCTTCTAAAACAGCTCGGAAATTCTGGGAGTTGAAGTCTGTTAGGGATATACCCTAGCAGAATGTGCACAGCAGTCAGGCGAATATGAGAGAAAGCGTTTTTTAGTTTTCACACTCAGTAAAAACGGATACACTGTCTTAGTTGAATAGTTTATTCCATTAAGAGTTTAGCAGGGTCAAACAGTCCAAATATCATTCACTAGTGTTCAGTCCGGAGATTGTTCAATTGCAAAAATCCAGTGTCAAACAAAAAGTCAGTTAACTTACAATGTCAATCCATAAATCAGTCCAGTAAATATCTTCTCACAGTAGATTAGATATGCAGCGTTCAAAACTCTTTCCTCCTTCGAGGTCAGCAACAGGGAACACGCAGAACAATCAACCATCAATCCAGTAGCAATCCAGGTTCTCTAGCTCCCTCTTATGGCAGTTTCTCAACCGCACCCAAATTATATCATTTAGAGTTTAAAGTGAAAAACACATTTAAACTTTGCTATCATGGTTTATATATTATTTACCCAAACAACGTTAGGTAACTATGGTTATTCCTAACAAAGTCCACACCTCTTTAAAGTTGACCAGGTTGGGAAATTCTTCTAAAGGAACCTACTGAATAACAGAAATAGTTCCACCTACTAAGGTTATCTAATCACAATCACAATCACAATCACAATCAGGAGGCCGTGAGTTCGATCGTAGGTAGAGGCAGATATTTCTCTCTCTGGGCACTCTGAGACTATATCTGCTGAACAAAACTCCACATCGGTGACAGGAAGGGCATCCGGCCATTAAAACACTCTGCTAGCTCCATTCAGTTGCCCAGACTCCACCCTGCAAGGGATTATGGGGTCGTTAAATGAAGATGATGATGATTAAGGTTTATCTAGTCACAATGAAGGTTAACCATATCCTAGATCAGTGTTTCTTAACTTTGGCAACTTTAAGAACGTGGACTTGAGCTCCCAGAATTTTGCCTGCAGGCTTCTATTTCCTTTCTTGTTACTGAAACAACCTTGAAATCATTTATGTGATGACGTGGGGCATGGCACAAAAGCAACACAGTCACATAAATAAGAAGAGTCCCTTTAGTACCTCCAACTTTGCCCCCAATGTCCAGGTTACCTTCGGCTGGAGAAAAAAACTCTCCCAAGAACAGTCTTTAAGTGGAGGAAATTCAGTCCGAAAACAAAAGTACATACAAACTGTAAACAAAAGTCCACACAAACCACACTGCAGTAATTAACTTGACAGGGCAGGAGAAAGAATTCCAGACTTGAAAGGCCAGCAAAACATACACAGTTAGGAAGATGCCAGGAACCCAGATAAGCCTCGACAATACCAGATAATTCACGGTTTGCTCTCAACAGTTTGCTGTGTGCAATCTCCCTTTTTAAACACTACGTTCCCAGCTGCAGCTAATGAAGGGAATCAGGGCCTTTTTCTCCCCTGTAAGCCACGCTACTCACGTTGCTCCCTTCTCTGTTCCTCCCTGCATGCCCTAGGATGAAGAGGGGGTGGGCCTGGGTCTTCCTCCGAATTCCCTCTCCCTTGCTCTACCTCTCCCGTGCTCTGCCCAGTTGGCCTTTGCCCTTCCCCAGTTTCTTCCACAGCCAAGGGAGCCACACTCCCACTCCTTGTCAGCAGTTCGGCCTCCTCCTCCGAATCAGATTCCGACAGGGGCATGACACGTTTAGGTCTCTGGCAAAGGAATAAGGAAAAGGCGCTAACTAACCTACTTCCAGGCAGGTATTGACTTACGACCAATCGCTTAGCAACCATTCAAAGTTATGACGGACCCCGAAAATGGAAATCAGGAGCCAGATTTTAAATTCCAATGTTTGCATTTTCGGTGCTTGGCTACTGGCCTGCATTTACATTTACTGCTGTTTGCAGCACTTATTACAGGTAGTCCTCAACTTACAACAGTTTGCTTAGTGACCATTCAAAGTTACAATGGCACTGAAGAAAGTGACTTATGACCATTTTTCACTCTTGCAACTGTTTCAGCATCCCCCTGGTCATGTGATCAAAATTTGGATGGTTGGCAAAGGGTTCGTATGGATGACAGTTGCATTGTCCTGAACAGCTTTTGCGACCTTGTGGTAAGAAGTCCATGGGGAAGCCAGATTCACTTAACAACCTCGTTACTAACTTAACTACAATGATTCACTTAATAACTGTGGCTAGAAAGGTTGTAAAATGGGGGCAAAGCTCCCTTAACAAATGTCTCACTCAACAACATAAATTTTGGGCTCAATTATGGTAAGTTGAGGGCTACCTGTATTTACATTTTTCCTGGAATTTTATTTCCAGTTTTTAGCAAAAAAAAAAAAAAAAATGCTCTATAGCAGTGATGGCGAACCTTTTTGTTTTGGTGTGCCAAAAGTGCGCACGGGTGCCGGCACCCACAATGCAATGCGCCCTGCCCCCCCCCCCCCGCACATGCAACACCCCCACCCTGCTCCCTTACCTGCACTGCGCATGCGCACACCTCCCAGCTGATTTTTGGTCCATTTGAGGCCATTTTCATGCTTCCGGAGGCTTGAGGGAAGCCTTTGCAGCCTCGGGAGGCCGAAAAACAGGTCTTCCAGAAATACCCGTTTTCAGCTTCCGGAGGGCCTCTGGAGTCCGGGGGAAGCCATTTTCGCTCTCTCGGAGGCTTGAGGGAAGCCTCTGGAGGCTGAAAATGGGCCCATTTCAGCACTTCTGGAAGGCCCATTTTTCAGCCTCCTGAGGCTGCAGAGGCTTCCCTCGAGCCTCCGGGAGGGAGAAAACAGCCTCAAACAGGCAAAAAATCAGCTGGGTGGTGCGCGCATGCGCAGTGTAGGTAAGTTTGGCTGGGGCTCACGTGCCCACACAAATGGCTCTGTGTGCCACCTACGGCATTCACCATCACAGCTCTATAGTGAACAATGGGGTTGCTGAATGACCATTGGAAAAAAAAAAGTCATGAAATCAGGCAAGGTCACTTTACAACTGTCACAATTTACGACTGAAAGAGTGGGCTCAAATTAACAGTTGTAAATCAAGGCCTGTCCGCATAAAGCAAACCCACCTGCATCTCTGGCATAAAATAACCCAACTCTTACCTTTGTAAGACTCTCAAGAGCTTCCTGCTTTTAATTGGGTATTCCTTCTGAAGGTGTGCGAAGGCCGAATGGGTCCCTTTATCCAGGAGGCTGTTAAAAGCCAAGTGATTTTCGGGGAGGTGAAGCAAGGAGCGCCAAATAAACATCCTGCAACCGTAAAGCAAATGAGCAGGGCAGGGCCAACTTTGGCTACATGTTTTGAATGCCAAAACAACAACACCACCACCAACCAAAACCCTGGACTCGGGGTACAGGACTCCACAGACCTGTATTTTGCTGGATACTCTCCAAACCCTTTCAGCAAAGCTTGGAGACGCTTCTTATTCAGCCCCTCTGGCAGCTCATTCTGCAATAGGAGTTATTAGAGGGTTATTTTTTCCTTACGTGAGCTGCAGTTCTCCCCAAGAATCTTCCCTCCGTTCTGAATGTGGCAGTTTGAAGAAACTATCTCGGCTTTTCCTTTATGTCAAATTAGCATCCTCTGTGGCTAGTGTTAGGAATATAAGTCACCTAACAGGTATTTGGGTTAGAAATATATAAACCAGGATAAACATTTTAGTACTATATCTTTAAGGGAATGCAAGAGCATGCCATTGGGTGTGGTTTCTCAAACAGCCATAAGATGGAGCCAGAAACCTGGGTTGTTTAGCCTTAGTCTCAGAAGAGAGTGTGTCTGAGTAAGTATCTCTGTTTCCTTCTGTTGGAAAGTATTGCCGTTGCTCCATTTTTCCTAATTGACTGATATTACTGGATTTAATGTAAGTCTGATACTGAACTATTTCTGACACTGGAATTTGATATTTGGATTATCCCTGGATTGAAAACTGACTGATTTTACCTGTGAATGACTTTGGACTGCTTATTTTGGACTTTGCTTAAACCTTTCTGGAAGTAAAAAACCTACATTTACTGTACAGTGTATCTGTGTACTGTGTGTGTATTATTCAAACACTTCTCTCAAATACGTCTCCCTGTATGCGCTCATTCTCCTAACGGGGAATTACCTCAACAGCTAGCACTGATGATGTTACCTGGTTGGGTAATGAAATGTCTGCAAGGAAACCACCAAGCTCAGAGAGCACCAAGGACCCCACAGTTCAACCCTGAGCTAGGAACATTCTCTTCTATTGGTGTCACATATGGGCGTGAAACTCTTCAAAAAACACATAAATGGGGAGAAATTTGCATGTGAGAATACTTCCACCAACAAGCACTGAGGATGTTCCCTAGTTTGGTAATGGAATGTCTGTATGTAAACGCTGGTGAAGTATGCCTACATACAAATTTCCCCTTTGTGTGTTCATACCAAAATAAAATAAACAAATAAAAATAAAATAAAATAAAAACAAAAACAAAACAATAGCACCAAAATAAAACAATCCTTTCTTTCTTGGGCCCTTCAGCTTTTGTTCTGTTCCTTTCTGCTGTATTCTCCTCCTCCCCCCATTTCAAAAACCTGTCATCCTTGGCTTAAAGACAGCTGCTCAACCTCTCCCATAAGGGATCACAGAGTTTATAATCTAGCTTAACTCCCATATTCAGACACTCAGGATTATAGTCCTGGAGATTTTCAGACACTGGATGGCCATCTGCTGGGATGGTGGAATTCAGAATTTGGGTTCCATACAGAAAGAGAGAGAGAGAAATTAATACTGTTCTCAACCCCACCCTCAGTTCACTTGAATGAGGTCTGGGGTATCCATACTAATTTTGCTAAGGTCCAGTGGAAAGGCGGAGACCGAGGGAGTGATCTCCCATTAAAAAAAACCCACTGTGACAGCCATTTTGGGGGTTGGTGGTTCTGGGAAATCTTTTAACTAACGACTTCATGGCATGAAAATTTTGGAAGGCTCCCGGGATCGTGAATCCCTGCAATGAACCGGGGGTTGGACTAGATGACCTTGAGGGCCCCTTCCACTCACACCTATGAACAAATTCCCAAGTAGAATCTCTCTCTTAATTCTACCCTCCCAGTTGGCTGTAGTGGGGAGGTCGGGGAGAAGAGGGAAAAGCATTTCTACATTTAGGGAAAAGAGGCTCTTCAGTGGGAGCAATCAGGTTTGCCTTTTCTGCCTCAGCCACCGAATTTGGGGTCCAGCCCTGAAGCAGATCTTACCTCCTTGTCCTCATACGACACATCGAGCAGAGGTTTAAACACCTTGGATTGGATTTTGCCCTTTTTGGCTTTCCACGGCCTCTCTGAGGTTCTGGGTGTGACTCTCATGGTACGTTTGTTGGCCTCCAACTTGCTCTTAGAGTCTTCGATCACTTTAAACAGCGGTGGGGGAGGCTGAAAAGGCCAAGATTTCAGGTTATCTGTTAAAAATCCTCGCAACTGGCTGGCAAACCGTACTCAACAAGTAGTCCTTACTGGGTCTAAGTCTACATGGAGGGAAGTAAGCAGTGGGGTGTCACAAGGTTCCGTCTTAGGCCCAGCACTCTTCAATATCTTCATTAACGACTTAGATGAGGGAATAGAAGGGGAACGTATCAAATTTGCAGATGATACTAAGCTGGCAGGAATAGCTAACACCCAAGAAGATAGGCTCAAGATCCAGATGGATCTTGACAGACTAGAACACTGGGCCATATCTAACAAAATGAAATTCAATATAGAGAAAAGTAAAGTCCTACACTTAGGCAAGAAAAACCAAAAGGACCCATAAAGACTGGGTGAAACCAGGCTCAATAGCAGTAACTGTGAGAGGGATCTTGGAGTCTTAGTGGACAACCAGCTAAATATGAGCCAGCAGTGTGCAGCAGCAACCAAAAACGTTAATGCAATTGTATTAACAGAGGGATACAATCAAGATCAAGGGAGGTACTAATACCACTCTATAAAGCCTTAGTAAGACCACACCTAGAGTACTGCATCCAGTTTTGGTCACCAGATTATAAAAAAGATGTTGAGACTCTAGAAACAGTACAGAGAAGAGCAACCAGGATGATTAGGGGACTGGAGGCTAAAACATACAACGAACGGTTGCAGGAACTGGGCTTGGCTATAGTAAAGAGAAGGACCAGGGGAGACATGATAGTGGTCTTCCAATATTTGAGGGGCTGCCACAGAGATGAAGGGGGTGTCAACCTGTTTTCTAAAGCACCTGAAGGCCAGACAAGGAATAATGGATGGAAATGGAACAAGGAGAGATTTAACCTGGAAATAAGGAGAAACTTTCTGACAGTGAGAACAATCCACGAATGGAACAGCTTGCCCTCGGAAGTTGTGGGAGCACCATCACCGGAGGCTTTCAAGAAGAGATTGGACTGCCATTTGTCAGAAATGATGTAGGGTCTCCTGCTTGGGCGGGGGGTTGGACTAGATGACCTACAAGGTCCCTTCCAACTCTGATTATCTGTTTGATCTGTTTTCTTGGGACTAAAAGATGCACAGGAGGATTCGGCGATGGGAGAATCTATTCTTAATCACAAAACCATCCCGTCTAAACACGAAGCAAACTTCATACGTGCGCTCACCGAACCGGTTGTTATGCCGGTAGGATCCCACCCCTGGGTAAGACCTGCATCGGGTTTTGGTCACCACACTATAAAAAAGAGGCTGAGACTCTAGAAAGAGTGCAGAGAAGAACAACCAGGGTGATTAGGGGACTAGAGACTAAAACCAGAGGGGATATTCAGCAGGTTCTCACCAGTCCTGGAGAACCAGTAGTGGAAATTTTGAGTAGTTTGGAGAACCAGCAAACACTACCTCTGACTGGAGATTTTACACTATCCTTCCCCTGCCACGCCCACAGAACCGGTAGTAAATTTTTTTGAATCCCACCACTGACTAAAACATATGAAGAACGGTTACAGGAACTGGGCATGGCTAGTCTTGTGAAGAGAAGGACCAGGGGAGACATGATATCAGTCTTCCAATATTTGAGGGGCTGCCACAGAGAGGAGGAAGGGGTCAATGTATTTTCCAAGGCACCTGAAGGCCAGACAAGGAACAATGGATGGAAACTGAACAAGGAGAGGTTCAACCTGGAAACAAGGAGAAATTTTCTGGCAGTGAAAACAATTAACCAATGGAACAGAAGTTTCCCTTAGAAGTTGTGGGAGCCTCATCCCTGGAGGCTTTCAAGAAGAGACTGGACTGCCATTTGTCAGAAATGGTATAGGGTCTCCCGCTTGGGCGGGGAGTTGGACTAGATGACCTACAAGGTCCCTTCCAACTCTGTTAATCTGTATCTGCCCAGATACAGATACCCCTAAAGGAAGGATGGGGAGTTTGGGGGTTTCCTCCAGTTCTAACCTTGTTGATCTCTTGGGTCAGAGCCTGGATGCTGTAAACGCTAAGGCTGCCGTTCTCCATCACGGCTGCAATGTATCTTCCAGAAGGGCTCATGGCAGCCATGCTGAGGCCTTCTTCGTGGCTGCCAAGGTCAAACAGCAGCTTGCATGTATTGATGTTGATAAATCTCATGATATTATCTTGGCTCAGCACTCCAAGGACCTAGACGGAATGAGGAGAGGAGGGGGAAGAAGGGGGGGGCATTTAAAAGACTGTTCATCTGCATTCTTTTTCGTACAGGTAGTCCTCGACTTACAGGAGTTCATTTAGTGACCATTCAGAGTTACAACGGCACTGGAAAAAAGAGCCTCATGACTGTTTCTCACACTTACAACTGTTGAAGCGTCCCCATGGTCACACGATCAAAATTCTGTTTTGACCAAGGCTTCCAAGCCCATAATGATGCACACGCTTATTTTAAAAACAAATCTTGTTCTATTGCAATGCTGGGAATTATTTTCATTCCCAGCCAGTAATGAATCTCAAACAATCCCTCGAGATAAGCACTCACCTATCTTTCCTGTGACATCCTGCCAATAACAGAAGTGTCCAATGAACTAGAAAAAAAAAACCTACTGAAGTACAAAGAGCTTGCAACCTTCTGACCAGGAAAGTAAACAGGGAAGCCAGATTCGGTTAACAACCGTGTTACTAATTTAACGAATGCAACGACTTGCTTAACAACCGTGGAAAGAAAAGTCATACAATGGCGGCAAGCTCACTTAACAAATGTTTTCCTTAGCAACATCAATTTTGGGTTCAATTGTGGTCGTTACTTGAGGACTACCTGTAATCTTTTTTAAAACAAAAAACAAAACCCATGATTTACCTCAATTGGTCCTCGACGTACGACATCTGAGTCCACAACTTCCGTTGCCAAACGAGGCAGTCATTAAGTGAATTTTGTCCCATTTTATGACCTTTTTGGGCCACAACAGTTAAAATGAATCGCTACAGATGTTAAGTGAATCTGGCTTTTCCCGTTGTCGTCACTTCTTGGACACTGGCTGTCAGTGTTCCAAGTAATCTATCCATAATAAACAGAGTTCTGAGGCAAGTAGGTTCCTCAAAGAATCGGTTTATTGAACATATATTGGCATAAACTAGTGAAAACCGACTCTGAATATTCCCACGGTTTTCACCTAATTAAAAGTCCCCCCCTCTTCCAGTCAGTTAGTCACATGGTCCAATCAAGGTCCTGTCCGGTTGCCAGGCAACGTTGCTCCTCCCCTCCTCCGGCCACCTGTGGGAATGTCCTTGGTTCCCAGGAGAAAGTATTTTGTTTCGGCTACGAAACCCCTCTATTTCTATTCCCCTCTTCCTATCCCTGAGCTCCAGTGTGGCAACACTGAAGTCTCAAAATGGCCACAGTCAGGTCAGTTTCAGGGTTGACACTGGTTGGGAGGGTTGCAAATGGCGACTATGTGACCACAGGGATGCTGCAACCATCGTTAAGTGTGAAAACTGGTCATGTCACTTTTTTCACCTCACTGCTGTTGCAACTTCGGTCACTAAATAAATGGTTGTGAGTCAAGGAGTACCTATCATGCACCATGCACTGAGGGGGAAAAAAAAACCTTTTGAGGTTTTTGGCTGCAGCTTTCAACAGACTTAGACTAATTCATACAACATACAGCCTTGCAATGGGGGAAGTCAAGTAAATTTAGGCCCAAATCAATCCTCAACAAAATATTATTTTATTAATAATGAAATAATTATTTGAATATTATTAATAATTATTATTTTTTAGAATTAGAATTCTTTTATTGGCCAAATGTAATTGAACACACAAGGAATTTTTCTTGGTGCAAATGCTCTCAGTATACATATAAAAGAAAAGATACATTTGTCAAGAATCATAAGGTACAAACAACACTTAATAATAGTCATAGGGTACAATAAGCAATCAAATATTAGGAAACAGTCAATATAGATAGTAAGGATACAAGCGACAAAGTTAGAGTCATACAGTCACAAGTGGGAGGGGATGGGTGATAAGGAGTGATGAGAAGATCAATAGTAATAGTAGTGCAGACTCATTGTGTATATGGAGGGAATCTTGGAAAAAGCCCACCCGGCACCAGCATACTTGTACTTCTACCTAAGCAATTCATATATTTTAAGGAAGCGTAAACTAAATGAGGAAAGAGAGAGTACCAACCCGTTGGCCAACAAATCATAAATGTAAATATTCCCTTGATGCTCTCCAGCAAGTAGAAACTCTTCTGAACAGTCAAAAGCCACGTTCAAAAAAACGTATTGTCTGGGAATGATCTGACAAAATCATACAATTTGGTATAACTCTTTCAACAATCACCCCTCTTAGCAAAGGAGCTTCAAGTCCGAATTGTGATTGTAGACAATTATGAGGCTACTGTATAATAGCAATAGCACTTAAGACTTATATACCACTTCACACTGCTTTATACAGCCCTAAGCAGTTTACAGAGTCAGCATCTTGCCCATAAACAATCTGGGACCTCATGCTAAACCTTAAACCTGGATCAGAAAGGGAAGTGGAGTAAGGTGGAATAAGGTCTATAAGGTATACATTCATACCCATCCAATGGCCATCTGATTCTGGCCAATGCTCTTCTTCCTGGGCTTCAGCTTCCGTCACTCACCTGATTAGAGCCCCCATCAAAACTATCAGAAAGAAACTCCAGGTGGCGAATGGCTCGCACTTTGGTTGGCATCTGGATAATTCGTAGCAGCTGCTTAGACTCCAAGCACCATAGGTGAAGGTGATTTGATTTGCCTCCCGTTGCCAGGACACGGCCATCTCTAAAATCCCATACAAGGCAATGGGCGTTAATCTATTCATCTTCGTGCCAGCTTACATCTCAAACTCAGTTTAGAATAGAATAGAATAGAATAGAAAAGAATAGAATAGGAAGAGAATAGCTGAAAGGGACCTTGAAGGTCTTCTAGTCCAATCCCCTACTCAGGCAGGAAACCCTATACCAGGGGTGTCAATCTTGCAGGCCGGATGTGTCACGTCCTGGCCCCGCCCCCACCCAGTTTAGTGAAGGAGAAAAAAGTCCCGATATGTCATGTGACGCCGTCATGACGATGCGAGTTTGACACCTCTGCCCTATACCATTTCAGACAAATGGTTATCCAATCTCTTCTTTAACACTTCCAGTGTTGGAGCATTCACAACTTCTGGAGGCAAGTTGTTCTGCTGATTAATTGTTCTAACTGTCAGGAAATTTCTCTTAGTTGTAAGTTGCTTCTCTCCTTGATTAGTTTCCACCCGTTGCTTCTTGTCCTGCTCTTAGGTGCTTTGGAGAAAAGTTTGACTCCCTCTTCTTTGTGGCAGCCCCTGAGATATTGGAACACTGCTATCCTGTCACCCCTAGTCCTTCTTTTCATTAAACTAAGACATATCTAGTTCTAGCAACTGTTCTTTATGTGTTTTAGCCTCCAGTCCCCTAATCATCTTTGTTGCTCTTCTCTGCACTCTTTCTAGAGTCTCAACCTCTTTTTTAACATCGTAGTGACCAAAACTGGATGCAGTATTCCAAGTGTGGCCTTACCCAGGCCTTATAAAGTGGTATTAACACTTCACGTGATCTTGATTCTATCCCTCTGTTTATGCAGCCTAGAACCGTGTTGGCTTTTTTGGCAGCTGCTGCACACTGCTGGCTCATACTTAAAATCTTCTCTCATAGCACTGAAGTATATTGCAAAGGACTGCTCGGTCCAGATAAGGAATCAGGCTGACATGTATGATCTCTGATTTAAGCCGGCATAAATCAAGAGATTCTTTATCTGGATTTAACAATCACTGGTTGGGACACTCCAAGGAACAGCATGGCAATAAAATCATCATCCACTCACCACGACTAATTGAACATTCTGCAAACAGAGTCGACTTAAAACAGTTCGTTTAGTGACCGTTCAAAGTTACAATGGCACCTATGACCATTTTTCAGAGTTACAACCATTGCGGCATACTACAGGGTCACGTGATTTACATTTGGATGCTTGACAACCGACTCACATTTATGATGGTTGCAGTGTCCCAGAGTCATGCGATCCCATTTTACAACCTTCTGACAAGCAAAGTCAACGGGGAAGCCAGATTCGCTTAACAACGGTGTTACTAATTTAACAACTGCAGTGATTCCCTTTAACAAACATGGCGAGAAAAGTCGTAAAACGGGGCAAAGCTCACTGAATAAACGTCTCACTTAGCAACACAAATTGTGGGCTCAGTTGTGGTTGAGGGCTACCTGTATTTTACAGCTCCTTTCAGTTATCATTTCAGCATTTCAATTGCATTGCATTGTCCCCCTGCAGGACTAAGCCATACGTTTAGTAATCTGCATGAAAGTCCCAAAGTTGCATTTTATCAGGAGGCAACTGGACCTTTAAAAAAAAAAAAAGATGTTTCGCTTCTCATCCAAGAAGCTTCTTCAGCTCTGACAGGATAGTCGGGAATGGAAGGATTTATATTCCTTGCAGACAGCTGGTCATTTGCCTCCTTTTAGGGAGCCTTTGAGGCCACTTGGAGGTTTATCTGTGTCCTCAGGGTTTGGGATGAACACCCTTTAAATGGTGTGGGAGAAGGAAGGGATTTCCAGAGGGAAAAACTGCAGACTACAGGAACCAGGGGCACTACTCAGGTGACCCTGAAAACACAGATAAACCCTCCAAGGGCTTCAATGAACTTCTAAAAGGATGCAAATGACCAGCTGTCTGCAAGGAATATAAATCCTTCCATTCCCCACTGTTCTGTCAGAACTGAAGAAGCTTCCTGGGTGAGAAGCGAAACATCTTCAAAAGCAAAAAAAAAAAAATCAAGAAAGTCCAGTTGCCTCCTGAAAAAGCACCTTTGGGACAACCTTTGGCCTGGATGACTGGAGAATCTCTACAGAATCTGCATGACAGCGTGGACTTCAGCTAAAACTAAGCTCAAAGAGGATGAGGTGGGAGATTTGCAGGCTTCTAAACACCAGGCCTACCGGGTGATGGCGAAGACCTTGTAGTGCAACGAAGACCCTTCGATGGGCGATGGTAGCTGGTACTTGCAGTGAAGAGTATCGAAGTCCCAGGCAAAGATGGAGTTATCTTTGAAGCAGCTGAGAATGGTGTTGCTTAGAGGAAGGAAAAATACCTGAAAGCAGAGGGAAAACAAGCACAGGGAGAAGATGTTTGAAAATACATGAGCAGCTTTCTCTCTTCAGAGTAAATACTGGTAGTCCTCGACTTACGACCACAACGGAGCCCAAAATTTCTGTTGTAAAGTGAAACATTTGAGTTTTGCCCCGTTTTATGACTTTTCTTGCCACAGTCGTTAAGTAAATCACTGGAATTGATAAGTTAGTCACCTGGTTGCTAAGTGAATCTGGCTTCCCCCATTGAATTTTACTTCTCAGAAGGTCGCCAAAAGATCCCAGGATCCTGGGACAAAGCAAGGTCACAAATATGAGCCAGATAACAGATAATCAGAGTTGGAAGGGACCTTGTAGGTCATCTAGACCAACCCCCTGCCCAAGCGGGAAACCCTACACCATTTCTGACAAATGGCAGTCCAGTCTCTTCTTGAAAGTCTCCAGTGATGGCGCTCCCACAACTTCTGAGAGCAAGCTGTTCCATTGGTTGATTGTTCTCACTGTCAGAAAATGTCTCCTTATTTCCAGGTTGAATCTCTCCTTGCTCAGTTTCCATCCATTATTCCTTGTCTGGCCTACAGGCGCTTTAGAAAATAGCTTGTCCCCTTTCTCTCTGGGGCAGCCCTTCAAATATTGGAAGACTGCTATCATGTCTCCCCTGGTCCGTCTCTTCAGTAGACTAGCCAAGCCCAGTTCCTGTAACCGTTCTTCATATGTTTTAGCCTCCAGTCTCCTAATTATCCTGGTTGCTCTTCTCTGCACTTTTTCTAGAATCTCATCATCTTTTTTATAGTGTGGTGACCAAAACTGGATGCAATATTTTAGCAGTGATCTTAATAAGGCTTTATAGAGTGGTATTAGTACCTCACTTGATCTCGATTGTATCCCCCCGTTAATGCAACTTAGGATTGCATTAGCTTTTTTGGCTGCTGCTGCACACTGCTGGCTCATATTTAGCTGGTTGTCCACTAAGACTCCAAGATCCCTCTCACAGTTGCCTGTTACCAGTTGCCTGGCATCTGAATTTTGATCATATGACCATGGGGACGCTGCAATGGTCATAAGTGTGAAAAATGGTCACAAGTCACTTTTTTTTCAGTGCTGTGGTAACTTTGAATGGTCACTAAATGAACTACCTGTACTGTGATTCCCCACTGGGACCCGACCAAAATTGAAAACGGCCACAGATTTCAGGAGACCAGAAGATTAATCTGGCAATGGAGAACTGTCTCCAAAATTCACCTTCTGGATCCCCACAGAATGGCGGACGTTCAGCTTCCTTTTGCGCTGGAACGTGTCCAGATCCCAAAGTTGGGCTGTATCTGTAGAGCACGTGATGGCATATCTGCCAGAGCCATGAATGGAGATGGAAGACACCGAAGAGTCGTGTCCTCTCATCCAGCTAACAAGTTCTTTGGTTGCTGTGGAAGTAAGAAAGAGGGGGGAGGGGGGAAGATCAGAATTAACCTAGAAAGAATCAGGAGAATTTAAGATTTCAAACTCGAAAGAAACGTGACTTCAGAGGAGATTGTGTCAGCCCCTCTAGAAATGGCCCAGTGCTGATTTGACTATTGCAGAAGTCTTCGAAGCCTGGAATAAAATAGTTGGAACTAGAAATAGGGAAATGTGTTCTATTCCTTCTTTGAATCTTAGTCTAGGTGTTCTGCACAAACCTAAGTGGTTTTGCACAAACACAGGGAGATCATTTCTACCAGTAGGTTTTGCACCAATTTAGATGAATGAGTTCCATAAGATCAAAATAACTGTTTCAAACTTGACTCTGCACGCCATTATATTACACTATAGCAGCGTTTTTCAAACTTGGTGTAAGATGAGTAGATTTCAAGTCCCAGAATTTTGGCTGAGGAATTCTGGGAGTTGGTTCACTATGGAATTATGAAGTCCATCAGGAATTATAGGAGCCAGCACCTTTGAGAGGCTGTCTACTATGGATTGGAAATTTTTAAATTACCTGTGTCAAAGCATTTGATGGAATAATCAGCCAAAGCCACAAGGAATTCTGTTTTCCTGCGAAGAGTAAATGCCAGAGCAGTGCAAGCTTGTCCTGTTCGTTGAACCAGGTTGAACCTATTGGGAGAAGCTAAAATTATTCCAGCAGAGCTTAAGACATCCTTATGGCAGGTCAAGCAATCTGTAAATGTTTCATAGACTCCTTACAACACCAGCTAACAGATAACTATGCTAATGCTAAAAGAGAATCGTTTAACCAAAAGACTCAACATATTCTAAAACACGCCAGATCTTTTACTCTTGTATTTATGTATATGTCTCTCCGTATATGTGTCTGCATATGTATGTGTCTATGTTTATATATATATACCGTGTTTCTCATATAATAAGGCCGGGTCTTATTTTTTTTTGAGCCCCGAAAAAATGGCTAGGCTGTCTTTTCGGGGGTGACTTAATTCCCCCCCCTTGCATCTTTGGGTGGGAGGGCAGCGACAGCTTGGATGTTGACCTCGGCGTTGGTGAGGCACTTAGTATCGGGGTCAACGCAGGCAGCAGCATATCCGGGTGTGCAACAAAAGTACTTCCTAACGGCAAGCCCCCCCACCATTCCCCCCATTTCGCATGTTTTAATATAGGCCTTAATTTGGGGGGAGGGGCTTAATTTCATTTCATGCCTATAAAACATGCTAGGACTTCCTATTGGGGGAGGCCATATTGTTGGAGAAACAGGGTATCTATATATGTATTTCTCTTCTTTTTATCTGTGTTGTTAAAGAGTCTGACGGCCTTGAAATGGAGGAACTAAAATAAATCTAGGCCATAATCAATCCGCACCAAAATATTATTTTATTAATAATTTCCATATTATTAATAATAATGTTTTATTTATTGTGTACATGGAGAGAATCTTGGAAAAAGTCCACATGGCACTAGCAAACTTGTACTTCTACCTAAGCAATTCACATATTTTAAGCAAGCATAAACTAAAGGATGAAAGAGAGAGATGGAGTACCAACCTGTTGCCCACCAAATCAAAAACATAAATATTCCCCTGATGATCTCCAGCAAGTAGAAACTCCCCTGAACAGTCAAAAGCCACATTCAAAAAACGTATTGTCTTAGAATGATATCCTGTGGTAGTATGAATAATATTTACTATGATTCTGGAAAGAAAGTAAAATGAAGTTAATATAAGGAGAACTGTAGGAAAAAAGAAATGATGCCAGAATAGGGAGAAAGTCTGCTATTAAAAAAATCTAGAGGGAGAGAATGGGTGGTCTTGCATATTTTTGGTAGTTGTCTTTGCTTACTTCCCTGACTGGGATGAGATGAACCTATGTTACGGGGATAAAACCCTCAATCAAATTAGAGATGCCCACTCCGTGACAAAGTTTCAATGGAGCATGTAATATCCCTATCAAATAAATCTACTTCAAATTGTTAGCTCTTATATTTTTATTGGTGTAATAACAGATTCTCCCAGGAGAGAACGCACACACCTACCTCTCCCCCTATATCATGTCAACCACTTTTTTTGCAAAGAAATATGGATTTTTAACCTGGAGTGGTTCATATCATATCATACCTAACCCTAACCCATACTTAGTAAATATATTTAAGGCAGTTGCACCAGGTCCTCTCTGTGCATTCAGCCATTTTCCAAGATTCTATTTTTGTCAGCATAAAAGCAAGGGGGACATTGACCCCTTTTCATTGTATCACCTGTGTATCATACACACACACCCCATCCGCCCTCCAAAAAGTTCCCTTCCCTTGTTTTTTTTTGGGGGGGGAGAGTGGGGGAGGGGCTGATGGCAGTTGGAATCTAGCTCTTTTAGGTTGGTCATGGGCTAACTGAACGCCTGTGAGCAGAAGGTGATGAAAAAGCGTCGTTCTTGCTGGAAACAGATAGACTATTCCTGAAGATGGAAGCTCCGTGGTTGAACAACTGCTAAAATATGCAACCGGCGATGCTGTGGCTACGGAAAATTACCCCTGCTGTGTTGCCGGGGAGGGCCTGCGGTGCCAGATTTTGCCCTGTTCCCTGTTGCCCAGATCCGAGCTCTGCATCCCGGCGGGAAAGAAAGCAGTAATCGCAGCCGCCGGACTGAATCCACCCTCAACGGCCGCTTCTCCTGCCCCACCGCTCTGACTTAGGAAGATACCAATGCATCATCCTATGAGGGGGGGCTAGGAAAGGAACGCCTCCCCCTCGGTGTGGACTCAGGAAGGCAGAAGACAGACTTTTCCCCTCTGTGTGTGGAGCATTCCTAGCACAGCCTGCTGGGAATTGTAGTTTTCGTAGCTGTAGGATGGTCCAACTGCGGCTCAATATAGAAAGTAGTGCTTGTTGCAGCACCTCTGGAAGAAGCAAACCAACCTCCCGAAATCTACCTGTTGAATTTGCAATTGTTTAAGTCAGGAGACTCTTTCAGGATGTCTTGAAAATAAATCAACAGCTGAGGTCCCCAGAACAGATATACTGTATCATTCCTCCATCTGTTCAATATGCATTCAGAACGTTGGTAATTATTTTAAAATATTTGTCTGATTTGTCCTTGGGAAATAATGCACACAGTAGGGGAAGGTTTCTCTACTAAATAAAAGGTAACACCTAACCGTGTACAGAGTAGCAAAAGATGCAGTGGTGTTTTTCACACTTGGCAACTTTAAGATTCCCAAGTCAGTGTGCTGGTTGAGGAAATTCTTGGGACCTGAAGTCCACACATCTTAAAATACAGGCTGCTTTTCTTAGTTCCCCAAGAGTGCTTTTTATAGCATGGTATACCAGTCCAACCCCCTCCCCACATTTCCTAAAAATGATGCCTTAAATTAGCAAAAAGCACCTTTGGGACAACCATGACCCGGATGAGTAAGAATCTTTACAGACTTTTAGCTGTACAATTTGGGATGAACTCCCTTTGAATAGTGTGGGAGTAGGAATGGATTTCCAGAAGAAAAATTGCAGGCCATAGAAACCAGGATTACTACTCAGGTGACCCTGGGGACACAGATAAATCTCCAATGCTTCAAGGAAGGACCCTCTAAAAGGATGTAGATGACCAGCTGTCTGCAAGGAATATAAATCCTTCCATTCCCCACTATCCTGTCAGAGCTGAAGAACCTTCTTGGATGAGAAGTGAAACATCTTCAAAAGAAGAAACAAAAAAGTCCAGTTGACTCCTGAAAAAGCACCTTTGGGACAACCATGACCCAGATGACTGAGAATCTCTACAGAGCTTTAAATCAGCAGTGTCTTTGTTTTTTGCTTCCCCAGCAGACAGCTGGCTTTGCTGCAAAAACTGGAATCTTTGGCAGCTTGGCCCCCCCGTTTGCTAGATAAGCATCCTGGAATTGTCCCGCAAGGCTTTTGGGTTGGTTTGCATCTACCTCCGCTATTAACTTCTAACTTTCACTTTGCATTATTATTATTATTTTTTGCTTTGCATCTCATTTTGGATGAGTGGACTGATAAGTTAATTGCCCAGGAGGTTGATAGATGTTAAGGCCGATACCCCCTTGGTGGACTGTAATTAAAGACTCCTTATTGCTGTATTTTAACAGGAAGTATCTTTCCTTTGATCTAACCTCTAGGAACGGCACTGGCAAACTGGATGTGGTCATTTTCTGGTATTTTGGTTATTTATTGAAAAGGCTGCATGCAATATAAATTTCAAAGAACCTTAATATATTACTTCATTTTTCTTGCATGTACCCTGCCTTCTGTTTATTAATTCAAGAAGGCATTTTTCTCTGACTTTTGGAACAGTTATCTAGGTCATTTTTAAGTGGTTAGTTATATTTATATGGTTGCCCATGTAACATATGCCAATGAAGCTTGTTCAGATAGCATGGCACCTTATATCACTGCTTCTCTATTATTTCAGATGGGTGGATTTCAACTATGCTGAATGGGGAATTCTGGGAGTTGAAGTCCATACATAATAAAATTGCCAAGGTGGAGAAATGTCTTGCATATGTAATGCATCATTCTTCTGCCCAGAAAGATTGAGATAATGAAATGCAATCCAATGAAAACCCCAAAGGAGCATTAATTCAAGCAAGGAGTTAAATATATATAATTGTATGTTGCTAAGTGAGAAATTTGCTAAGTGATTTTTGCCCCATTTTACAACTTTTCTAGCCACGTTTGTTAAGTGAATCATGGTAACTCTTAAATTAGTAACATGGTTGTTCAATGAATCTGGCTTCCCATTGACTTTGCTTGTAAGCAGGTCGCAAAAGGACTCCAGGACACTGAAACCATCATAAATGCGAGTCAGTTGTCAAGTATCCTAATGTAAATCACATGTCCATGGGGATGCTGCAACTGTCATAAGTGTGAAAAATGGTCACAAGTCACTTTTTTTTCAGTGCCCTTGTAACTTTGAACAATTAGAATTAGAATAGAGCTGGAAGGGACCTTGGAGGTCTTCTAGTCCAGCCCCCAGCTCAAGCAGGAGAACCTAGACAATCTCAGTTCAAGTGACTGTCCGGTCTCTCCTTAAAAACCTCCAGTGATGGAGCGCCCACGATTTCTGAACGCAAGCTGAACGGTCACTAAAGGAACTATTGTAAATCGAGGACCGCCTGTATTTATAGAGAACGAGGGAGCGAAAAGTGCACGGTCCCTTTAAGAGTGAAACTTCCGGCGACGCTACTTTTCCTTCCCCCGCCTTTATTTTTGTTCCGTTGCTTAGCAAACGGAAGGCGGAAACCGGAAGTAGCCGTTTGGCCGAATTCGGTGTGGCCACGTCGGAAGAAGGCGGGCTCCACCCACCGGCCAGGTCTCAGCCCCTTCTCGACGCTCGGCTCTTTGGCTGAGAAAAGAAGCACCGGCGGGAAAGAGGAGCGCGAGGCCCGGCGTCCAGGCCTCACCAGTGGCGAAGGGGAGATGTCGGACCTCGGGGACTGGTTCCGGAAGATCCCGCTTATTACCCGCTACTGGTTTGCAGCTGCCATCGCGGTGCCCCTCTTCGGCAAGTTAGGCCTGATCAGCCCCGTTTACCTCTTCCTGTGGCCGGACGCCTTCATCAACCGCTTCCAGGTGGGCGAGCTGGACTACGGCTCCCGGCATGCACGGCGCGCTTCGTGCCGATAGCCCTTAGAAGCAAATGCTGCGCTGGGTGTGTTGGGAATTGTAGTCAGTGGTGGAAAGTTACGGAGAATGCCAGTCCAGACTTGTGTATTTTTTAAAGCTATGGTGGAAGTGCCCTTATTGGTTTGGGTGGGAGGCACCGTAACTTGACATTTATAAAGCAAACACTTTTCTTCTTCTTCTTCTTCTTGGAAATTGAATGGTGCTTCCCTAAGCAAGGGATGCTTACTTGTGTGATAAAGAAATATCTTTCAGAAAATGATTAATTGACTGATCAGGGCCATCATGTCATTCTGATGACCACACAGATCTTGTCCATGACGATCTGTCCCTAATCTGGTTTCTCAGGTCTTCTGATGGTGTAGTAACTAAGTCCATCCACTGTGCTGATGGTCACCCTCTTCTTCCCTACTACTACTTTCCCCAGGATTCTCCAGAGAGCTAGGCCTTTGTTTAATGTGTCCAAGCCTAAGATTCTGGTTAGGGTTAATTTCAGCCAATATGGCTGAATAGGGCAGGGGTCTCCAACCTTGGCAACTTTAAGCCTGGAGACCTTCAACTCCCAGAATTCCCTAGCTGAAGTCCGCCAGGCTTAAAGTTGCCAAGGTTGGGGATCCCTGATCTAGGCTACACCAGTGGGATTCAGTTTCCGGTTTATTTATTGTGAAAAAAATATGTATATATGCCTGTATGGGTGTATGAATGGGGGGGTTTCCATTGTGGCTTCCCATCCAAATACTGACCAACCCCAATGTCCTTTGCTATGTATGGATGCCATTCTGGTCAGAAGACTTAGTCATGTGAAACTAGGGGTCATTCCAAGCCTTAGCTGTTTACTTGCATGCTGTTGGCTGAACATGGTATACAAACTTTTAATCATAACTTATTTATTACATGGTGCCATCATGTCACTGAGCTTTGCATAAGAGTTGAAAACTGATCAAAAGTGAAGTGCTTTGTAAATTAGCTCAGAAACAGAAAGTGGGGAAATTTGCATACTGCCTGGTCTCAGCAGGAAGAGGCAGATAGCAGAGGACTGAGAAAACTTGTAACTAGTGCTAAACTACCACACAAGCTCATACAATTGTTATTTTGTATCGGCTGCTGAAAGCCATTTTCTTGAGAGGTTGTTTTCTTTTTCATCATCCCTGATTTGCTTGGTAAGAAGTGAAAAAGTATGTGTCATGTCACTCCTGGAACAAAATAAGGCCTTTTTTTTGAGAATAGACGCGTGGGAGGTATTTCCTTTTCAGTAATCATGGAAACAGTTGAGCTGCTTTAATTTACGGCCATTGCTAGCAAAACACAAATAACCTGAAATAGGAGGAATATAGAATAAATAAATAGCATGAGAGATCACCTGGATTGTTTGATTTAGTCACAGACTTCATTCTTGCCCTTTTGTCTTGTTGCAGGGCTATATTTTTAGTGCCAAGAATATAAACAATCATTAACATACAGAGGGGTCTCTGGAATTTTGATAGGTACCAATATAGTGAAAAAAATGGAGTAATTTAAGTTGGAAGTGGTTGGTTAGTCTTTTTTTTGTTTTTTTTTTGAAGAAGAAGAAGCTAGAGTTATTTAAATCACTATTGTGGAAAATTTGATTCTTTTGTTCAATATTTGTTTTAGCTGAACAAAATGAGTTTCTAAGGAAGATTTTTAATGTGCTTAGCTATAAGGAATTGCTTTCCCCTCATTGTTCCTTGCAATTAGACATGGATCACAGGGTTTAGGAAAAGAGATAATAAACATATTAGGTTATAAGAATTCTCTAAACTTGGTTTTTCATTTACATACATTTCATTAGCTGAATAATTACAGCCCACTGCTTCAATCTTGAACTAGTATGTTCTCTGCAGGAAAATATGAAGGAATGTTCCATTTTATGAAGAAAGGGAAAATATGATAGGAATTAAAGTTGTGTGATAAATCAGTTTTTTATCTCATTTTCTATCTTTTCCCATTGCCA